GGAGTTATTTATTGAGTGTTAATAAAATGTTAAGACATAACTTTCTTAATAGAGGTGAATTGGGTTTTAAAAAAAAATTTGAATTTCTAATCAATTATTTAAAGAATTTTTTTCGATAATCAATTATAAAAGAAATATTACAGTTTTCAGAAAATAAGAATAACAAGAAAGAAGAAAAAACTCACAAATTTATATTGGTTCGATTCTTCTTGAATCTACATTCGGTTTTAACACTAGTGCAAAAAGGGGCTTTTACGTCGGGTATTTAGGGCTTTTTACGTCGTATTTAAGACTGACGTTAAAGCGGAGACGTAAATTTACGTCGGACTCTTTAGCCCGACGTAAATTTACGTCGAGTTATCAAGACCCGACGTAATTTTACGTTGCATATACCACTAAACGAGACGTAAAAACTTTCGGAAATTAAAAAAACAACAAATTTACGTCGCATATTGGTATACGCGACGTAAATTTACGTCGCATATACCAATATGCGACGCGTATACCAATATGCGACGTAAATTTGCTTTTTTTTTAAATTGGGTTGATTCTGTTTTACAACTAAAACCTGCAAATATATATTACAACCAGACAATCCAGAGGTTCAATTTTCTTTAGCTAGTAAATTAAAAAATATAATATTATATAATTCAAACTACATAATAAAACAATATAATACAAACATACAAACTAAAAAATCTATTACAAACTAAAAGTTAATACAAACTAAGCTACCTAAACTACATACTACACACAATATAATATGAACAAGAACTTAAAAAATTATGTACTAGAATTGTTGAACAAAAAATTTTGTCCATTGTTCTCTAATTTGTGTAATATCATATTCTGGTAATGAAGATTGATCTTGAAATACCTGAAACATTAATTTGACTCTTGTAAACATGCAACATGAATAAAGTTAAATAAACTTAACTAATGTTAAAAGCAATTACCTCCGTCCAAGAATCAATTATACCCGCACAAGCTATGACTCTCATCCAATACATAACATAGTAACCACATTCAAACGAGTCTGTTTGCTTATTACACTGAAATGATGAAAAAAACATAATGTTATTTTCAAAATTTAAATACAAACAATAATTATGGTATTCACTTATTATAATAAGTTTCTAACCTTAGGATAAATGAACTACAAAGTCTTTATTCTGGGTTTTCCACTTAGAACATTAGTTATAGACACGATTCTAAAGGAAAAAAAGCCATATATTATTCAATACGTTTTCCATTTTCACTAGCAAATTTAAAAAATTCATCAACTCCCTTTTCGTACTCTTCACTAATACGACGTGCATTCATCCAACTTCGATTCATATTATGTTATAAAGTTTCGTCACTCCTAGATATTCAAAATTTATATTTAAAAATAAATTAATATACAAACAACAAAGCACGTATATGGAGTGTGTAAAACGAAAATGCACTCAAACAAAATAATGACATTCCAATAACAATCCAATGGAGATATTCATACAATGACATGATTGAGATCCCAAAAACAATCACGGATTCAATTTGAACATATATCAGGAGACATAGAACACTAACCTCGAGTAAACACGAAAGCGATTTCAAACTCGAATCCAATCGGGGAGAAATGTCAAATTCGTAAAATGAGACACAATGTTGATGTTCTTCACTGCCAAAATGATCGAAAATGGTGTGGAAAGGTAACTGTCGTCGTCATTCTCATTGTCGTTCTAAAAAACCCTTGCGGCGCGAGATGCGGGAGTGGGTATGGAAGAGAATAAAAAGAACTTTTTACGTCGCACACCCTAGCACGTGACGTAAAAAGCCTCTTTTACGTCGCATGGGGGGGTGTGCGACGTAAAAAGTGATACTTTACGTCACATGGGGGTGCGCGACGTAAAAAGCACTTTTTACGTCGCGCACCCCCATGTGACGTAAAAAGTATCACTTTTACGTTGCGCACCCCCATGTGACGTAAAAAGTGATATTTTTTACATCGCGCACCCCCCACGTGACGTAAAAAGTATCACTTTTTACGTCGCGCACCCCCCATGTGACGTAAAAAATGATACTTTTTACGTCGCGCACACCCCACGCGACTTAAAAAGCTCTCTTTTACGTCGCGTTGTACCAGGTACGACGTAAAAGAGGTTTTTAACGTCGCCTCCTACAATATGCGACGTAAAAGTTTCACCTCTTATTTACAAAATTGCCACCGCGTTTTATTTACGTCGAATATTTTGACATGCGACGACAATTGGGTGACGTAAAATGTCATTTTTGCACTAGTGTAACCAAACAATCTTAGTTTGGAGTTTTTCACATTAAAGCAGTTTACAACCTAATTAAATGATCTTGATTTACAACAACCTCTAATCAAGATCACAATACTTGAAAATATTCTACCTCACAATTTTCAAGTTACACTGATGTAACTAGTTTCACATACATCAAAACTTAAGAACAATGTACAAAAGAAAGATATGAAACGAATTCACCTTGGATTTTTATAATTATGCATCCTATAGCCAAATAACATTTTTTTGAAATTGATATTCAAAATATTTTGCAAAATTACACTCTTTCCTTGATGTCTAAAACATTCTTTCTAATTGCTTTAATTTGTATTTGAAAATTGATATTGATTAAAGAAAGTTTACATCCTTTTATAAAAAGAAAATTGTTGTAATTGTCACATATAATCGATTAGCAGATTTATCTAATCGATTATGTAAGTGCAGTGATAATTTGAAAATAGTCAGATAATTAATTAAGTGCTTACATAATCGATGATTAATGCGTTGTGTTAAAATAATATTTTTGACAAATAATCGATTAAGTAACCACAAAATCGATTATTAGCGCGTCTTATGAAAACTTAATTTTAAGTTATATAATCGATTAACCCTTTATCTAATATTATTAGTGCATCGTGTTAAAATAAATTTTTGACAAATAATCGATTAAGTAACTACATCGATTATTAACGCGTCTTATAAAAACTTAATTTTAAGTCATATAATCGATTATCCTTTTATCTAATTAATTATTAGTGCTTCGGTTTTAACATAATTGATTATTTTTACTTTCAAAATTTAGATTATTTTAGCTTTATACAAACTAACTATATTAACTACTATCTATAATTTGATATCATAAAAAGATATTTTTCAAATATCTTCTCTCTTCATCAATATTGAGATGCTTAAATAAAATATTAGTTGTTTGAAGTAATTTTTCTTCGAAGGAATCCTATGTGTCATGATAAGTGCTTAATTTTTTTTTATAGTTGTTTCATCAAACAACTTACAAAAATAAGCAAATCAAATAGAGAATAAATTTTTAAAAATTTATTAAAAAAACTTCTAATTAAATAAAATCAACGAGTTAATTACTTAAAAATAATATGACATCATAAATCCTTCTTTTACATTTTGTTCAAGATAAGAAACAACTCATGTAAGTTGTTCTTGTCATATATATCCTTAATTTTACAATTCGAAATCTGTTTCTACTATTCAATCAGGGTTAAAGATAATTTTAACAAAAGTAACTCAGATGTAAAACATTTATCATTAAATAACACATAATTTTATTCTAACAAAAGAAAAAAGAAAATTTAAGTAAATCATTATTATTTTTTTAAACTTGATTATGATAAAATTCTTATTATAAGACATTTTGACTAAATCACACATATTAGAAAAATAATTAATACATCTAATTTAATTAAATTGTTATTTTTTATTAGTATTCTATTTTTAATCTTATTAATATAATCATTAAATAAATTAATACCAACACACAGTCATATATTTAATAAGAAGATACTGAGAAAAATAAAAAGTAGATTTATTAAAATTGTAAAATATATTAAAATAAAGACCTTAAAAAAAATGTCTTGTAATAAAGAGTAATATTTGATAATATAAAATAATTAAAATTGATTTTTTTAAATTATTTAATTAAACAGTTGATAATATATACTAATATTTAATTTTAAAATATTAATGTGTTTATTTAAATTCATGTTCTGTTTTTTAATATTATTCATTTTAAAAAAAAATTTCCTTTTATATTTATAAATAAAAATTACTTGATAAAATAACTTATCATATTTTCTAAAAAATATTCCAATAAGTTACTTTAACTATCTTATATTATTTTCCTATTCAAGGACCGTTCCAACTAACTAAATAAAAAATTTAAAACTTTTTTCAAGTTTTGGTTTGCTGCCGTTGTTAATTCTTGTTTCATAAGGCTAATCAATTAGCGTCAGTTGCGTCTCATCCATCACAGAAGATGCTCTCTCAGAGACATGGTAGACGAATTGAAATGACTACTGGTGTCTGCTATGCTGAAAAAATTCAATTATGATCCAAATACCATTTTCGGTTTTAGTCAATTTTAAAATATTATTATTTTTTTTAAAAAGAAAAGAAAAGCAATGACGAGTAAATAAAATGAGAATTAAATAAAAGAAAAGGTTAGTAGAAAAGATAGGAGTGCCATGGTTGTTGACCCATCAAATCAAACAAACCTTCGTAATAAAGTGTCTTTCCATTTGAAGCTAAACATGTTTTTCTGCCTCAAATCAAACTCATCCAGAAATCATAGCTTCACAATTTCTAGCCATGTCTCATCTCCAAATACCAAATAGAAGAACCTAATATTCAGTCATCAAAAATCACTATTCCAACAAGATCAAAGCACTTCCATCGTCTAAGTGATTGGTTCCAACACCAAAATTGAATCAAACAAAGCATAGAAGAAGAAAAAAAATTCATTGCTCAACAAAATTTACAAGAAGGGAGAAAAGGGGTACAAAAATAAACATAGACCAATCCATTTACATGCAAACCTTGGTCAAAAACTCAAAATTCAACAAGGGGAAAGAAAAGCTTGTGATGTGTTTTGTCTCCATGTCCAAAATCTAGCAAAGGGGGTTATATGTACTACACAAAATGATGCTTATGATGGTGATGATTACAACAAGAACAAGTGGTTTAAAAAAACAACTCTAAACGTCTAGCACATGAAGTACAGAAGAACTTCCTCTTGATCTTGATGCACATGGGCAAGAAGCATAATTTCCACTGGATCTCAACATCCATGGCTTCAACCTTGCCATCACAGTAAGGGCATGATCCTGGGGCCTGTTGCCGACCCAGTTCCTTCTCTTCCTCATCCAACACGAACATGTGCCACATTTTTCTCCTGCGAGGCTTCGATCCACCACTTCTCTTTCTCTTCCCCTTGGTCTCTGTCTCAGAACCTTTTGGTTTTGAAGGGTAGGTTAAGAGGTTTCGGATTGTGAAAGAATGAAACATTGGGGACAATACCAGGTCTGTCTTCCACATATTTATACATCTTCGTGGTTGTTGGGTAGAGAGAATATTCCCCGTGGTTCTAATTTCCTTTACAATTTTTTTTTTCTTTTTCCAATTTTTAATTACTTCTGTTTTCACTCTCCACTGGGTGTTGAAACAAAACAGCTACAACCCAAAAACTGGTTTACACTTCTGATGTAATAAATGGTTTTAAATAAGTAATAAAATAAAAGTACTGTTGCTTTTAATGAACAGGGTTAAGCACTCTTCGCGATTTTAAGATGATTAAATTAAGAAGAACAAAATCCTTAATTATATTAAATTTAATCTATACAAATAAAGTAGGAAATAGTGTTTGATTAATATAAAAATTTATACACGATAAATGCGTGAAAAAGCAAAACTCAAATAAAAGTTCCTCGTTGAAATTATCAAATTAAAAAATTACAAATATAAAATTCTTTCTATATTTTTTATTTTATTGAGTGACAGTGGTGACGATGGATTCCAACTAGGCAAACAAATAGTAAGAAATACAAAGGCATGATGAGAGAAAGAATATTTATAAATAAAGTTATGATAATAGAAGATAAGATAATTAGAAAATAAAATATTATATATTTTGATGATGAAAATAATAAAAGTTAAACGAAAATAAAATAATGAGTGATTGAAGAGTGGTGGATTAGAAAGGAGGAGAAACCGCGTGATCCGCCGCGGATTGGTGAGCGCATGGTAACTGTCGTGTGTGAGACTGTCCATCTCTTTCACGTTATCTTTTCACTCTTCAATTATTCTCACCCCCACACATTTTGCGCCTTTTTCATTTTGGGTGAAGACTAATAACATAGATTAAATTAATATTAAAATAATAATAATGAAATTAATATTAATTTCATTATTGATGAAAAATAAAATAAAATAAAACTGTACTTAGTTTAAATATTGTGTCAAGTAACTCCACAAGATAGATAAAATATTAAACTAATAATCAATCTTCCTCGTCTCACAAATTTTAAAGGCACAGTGGTGGTTTCATATGTCAAGGACCAAAAACCACTATTTATATATATATATATATATATATATATATATATATATATATATATATATTTCTAATACTACTAAAATAACAAAAATTTGTAAGTTGTTTATCACTTATGAAAACATTATCGAACTAAAAAGTGTGAACAGTGTTTTTATATAAATTAATTATTAAGAGTGAACTTATGATATCAATTATATTTATATATATATTTCTAACACTACTAAAATAACAAAAAATTTTAAGTTGCTTATCACTTATGCAAACATTATCGAACTAAAAAGTGTGAACAATGTTTTTGTATAAATTAATTATTAAAAGTGAACTTATGATATCAATTATAAAAAAAATAAATGTTATATGTCAATTTAAAAAAATTGTATTAATTATAAAAATAATCAATGAATTTTTATTTTATTTTTAATTTGTATTATATTTGTAAATGTTAACTTTTTGATATATAATTATAGGTATAGTTTCACTTTATTTTTATATTTCTTCTCAGGATAAAACAGAATATTTTATATACAATATCAATCATATTTCTTTATTCATTCCTAGCCAAATTTACTAGGAATAAAAAACTTATATATTTATCTAAAATGATAATAAGAAAGATAGGAGGTGATAAAGATATTACGAGATAGTATTAATGAGTAGTGTGAAGGTTTTAGATAGTAGAAAACAATTTTATTTTCATTCTTTTTAATATTAGTATTATGAGACGGTTTATAACTAGATAATTAAATAGTGGTTTTGTTCTATTATGATTATTAGATCATCCTTAGAGATGAAAACTTTGGAAAAAAAAGTTTCAAAGAAGAGTTAAAAAAAAGAAGATTTGATTAAAAGAATCTAAATAAATAGAAGGTTTAAAAGAGTGTTACGGTGACAAAGATGCGATGGACAGAAGAAATTAGGGTGCACATTATAGTGAAAGAAGACGAAGATACAAAATCATAATATAGAAAAGATTTTCTACACCTATTTTTAATACAATAAAAGTCTGTTAATTATTACAAAAATATTAACACATTTATATTTATATCAATTCCCATATAGTTAACATGATACAATCAAAAGTTTTTGCACTAGTATAAGTTATTCTCATATTCTTTTCAAAAGTAACGATTGTAAATTCAATTATAAGAAAATTAATATTTTGATATTTTATTAATTGATTAACAATGACCTTTAGGACTTGGAAACAATTGATTGTCTCCTCAAATATTCAAATTTCTAATGTGACAAGAGTTCAAACTACCATGAGTTTTATTGTACAACCACCTATCCAAGAGAGTGTTAACATCAAACATTTTATTGTCAACTTTTCCCAACATTACTTCTTTACTAAAAAAGTCAAGTTTAGTGATTTACTAAAAAGGTCAAGTTTAGTAATTTGTAACAAGGAAAATCCTTGTAACAAACTTGATTTACTTGATAATGTATTAATTAGTTTTTATATGCATTGGCTATGGAATACAACTTTGATAAGAATTTATAAATGATCTTTCTTCCAAATTTAATATAGGGATCATTTATCATTGGAAAATAATTGTGCTATAAGGATAATCAATAATTTTTAATCATCTTATTTAAATAATCTAAATATGTTTAACAAATTTATATTGAAAAGTAATTATGCTATAAGGATGATATATATATATATATATATATATATATATATATATATATATATATATATATATATTTAAATAATCTAAATATCTTTGATAAATTTATCTAACACCCAATGTCCTTGAAAGAATAGGATATACTTAAGATAAGTGTAAAAACACTAAATATCTTTACAAATAAAAAAATAAAATAAAAAATATATATATATATATATATATATATATATATATATATATATATATATATATATAACTATTAACGACTCTTTCGCTTTCCCAAATATATATCTTACATATAAAAGAAAATATATAATCTGTATGCCAAAATACTTTTTATGTTTTGATATATAAAACCAGTAATATGTCATTAATGGTTCTTTCATTTGTTCAAATATATGATCTCAAACATAAAAAAAAATATAATCTATAATATATACTTTGGCTTTCCTTGTTGATATTTGTAACAAATATATCATCAAATAAGAAATTAACAAAACATAATATTCAATGAAATCAAAATTTATTTTAGGTTTGTCTATTATCAAGACTATGAAGATTTTGAGAACAGAGATACAAGTCATCTAAAAAATAGTTAGAAAATATTTTTTCAGACAAAATTAAAAGAAATAAAAAAATGAGCAAAATTTATTTAACTAATTAATTAAACATCAAATTATTTTTTTCGATTCTAAACCTCTTCCTCGTGTTTTAATAGACTTTATTATAAAAGTTTCTCATAAACTAAATGCTCTTATTAAAAAAGTTTCTTATAAACTAAACACTCTTATTCTTAATAATGTTTGTCATGTTGGTACCAATCAAATAAAACAAAGAAAATATTAAAAATTCAAGTGTGAGTTTAAAGTTCTACATTTAACAGAAATAAAAAAATTGAATAATTTATAAATAAAAAAGACTCATAACCTAATGTCTTAAGTTTTTTGAATAAATATATTATCATATTATTTTATATAATTGATTAATATCTCATTTATGAAAATCTATTTATCGTTAACTTTCATATAAAACATCTAATAGAAAAGTCCTAGTATTGAAATAGTTTAGAATCATAACTAATTCATTATCATATTTATTCTATTAAAAGTCAATTTCTTTCACACTCTCTCATATCTCTCTTTGTATTCTCTCTATAACCATACAAAAGAGAATAAAAATCCTCTAAAATCATTATGATGAAAAAAATAGGAGGGAGAAGGATAAAATAAATAGGTTGAAAATTATGAATGTAGAAGAAACCATAAAGAAAAATAAAAAAATAAAACATATTACATCAATAATAACATGTGAATTGAGTATAAAAGTAAAATTTACTATTATAATTATGAATGATACGAAGAGTGTAAAAACTTTTATTAACAACGATATAAATACTTTCATCAATTTTTTTTCTTCCTTCACTAACCACCACATTCTGATTCAAATAATGAAATTGGTAAAAAATAGTATTTAAAAATATTTTGTAGTAAATTTATAGAATATGTGTGCCTATTTTCCTTCACATTTTTTGTTTTGTGCATGTATTTGTCATATTTTTTTTATGAAAATTTTGAGATTAGTAGTAATTGATAATTTCTCCATATCATCTAAGGTGAACAATTTGGCTAGTAGTTAAAGTCATGAACATTATGGTTTATTAAGAAAATTATTATCAACGTTTCACAACAGTATAAAATATTATTAGTGAAAATAAATTGTCATCGAACAAGTTTTGATGAGGTAAAAAATTCGTTCACTATGAATTGAATTATTGATAATAATAAAAAATGAATTTAGTACTATAATATTTAATGAAAAAATTAAATACAAAATTCATTCACAAATCACAATTTGATACTTAAATTAATAAATAAATAATAAAATAATAACACAATCATGTAAATAAATTAGAAAATGAAATGTAAGATAAAATAAGTTACAATCTTGTATAGGTATTTTATGTATATTATAAGAATCTTATATCATGATTCTAAATAAATATTTAATAAAAAATAATCTAATTATTAAATATTATTAAATTATTAAAAGTTAATTTGTTGATAAAAATATAATTAATAAAATATTTAATTATATGAGACGGTAGAATGATATGCATGTACGCCCACAATGTTAGCACAATAATATATGCTTATACATGCATCATGTTTATCACGTGTCATAACTCAAACCCGGTCATATTTGTATTGCGCAAAGTTCAACTCAAACACTGTATGCTTTTAAATCTAAACTTGTTTCAAGTACACGTAAGCAAATAATGCCACTCAACCTTTTTTTTTTTTTTTTAATCCAGATATATTATTTACATGTATAGATTATGAGTATATTTGGAGAAAAAAACTTTTCCGTTAACATTTTACGAGAGAAAAAAATAAATTATTTTGATTTATTTACAACACGAGTTAAAATCCAATTTAAAAATGCTTTAAAAACTTTTATAAATTAATTAAAATTATGAAAAATTATTTATTCAATTTTTTAATTTTCTATTTTACAATATGAAAATAATTCTAAAAAAAAACTTCAATTAAACCTTTTTTTTTCTCTTATTTAAGAAAGGTAAATTAAATGCTTAAAAATTAATAATTGAAAAAGACATTATTCAAGATAGCAATTCTTTCATCATGATTTTCTGGTTAAACTTCAAATTTGACAAGTTTGTAATATTTTGAATGTGATATCATCCAATGAATGAAAAAATAAAAACAAACAAAGTTCAAGGAACATTTAGGAATTCGAGAATTTAGAATGGTGACAAAAAAAGTCGGTGTCTGCATACATTAAAACTAACTTTTTTAGAAAAACAAAGTCGTATTTGATTACATGTTACACGATGTAACAAGTTAAGGTCAAATAAAAAAGAAACGCACACTTGCAGAAATTGTCTCCTCTTTCAAACAAAGTTTGTATTTTCTACTATATAATATTCGCTTATAAATAGTTACAAATATAAATATTTATTATTTTTTAATATATTTTTTTAATTTAATAACAATATAATAATAATAATTTATAATTTGTTTTTATTAATTTATTCTTGTAAAATATAAAAAATGTTTTTTAATATAATATTTTAATTATAAAATTAGAGACAGAAACAAAAAATTAATATTAAAAATTCAATATATAATTTTTTTAAGATATTATAATATTTTTTTAATAAAATCTTCAAAAAAATATTTTTTTAAGACTATGACGTTGCTAATCCCCTTCTTTTACTCCCATATATAATTCAAAAAAATATTTTTTAAGACTATGACGTTGCTAATCCCCTTCTTTTACTCCCATATATAATAACGTATTAATGTAAAATATAATACTACCGTTAAAGTTTTGATAGAATAAAATAAAGTTGTATGAAAATAAAACTATTTTGATTAAAAAAAAAACTTCTTCTAATATACTTAACAACTGTTGATTAGGTATTTAAAAAATGACTTTATTTATTTTTTCTTTAAATTATTCTAACTAAATTATTTTATTTTTACCTTTCAAATTGATCATAATATTTATTTATAAACTATAATAATTATAATTGTAATTTTCTTGTTTACGTTATAATTTTGGAAATAATTGAATTCCTTTATCATTTCACATTCAAAGATTAAACAATTATTTATATTTAACTTAAATCAATTTCTTTACAAATTTTTAAGCATACTTTTCTTATACACTAATATCATGAATATTTTGAATAAAATAAGAAATATTTGTAAATATATTTTTCCAGAAAAATAATCCTTCTACATGTTAATTTTTTTTATTATAGATATTTCTTATATATTAATGTTTCTTGAGTTTATTTTTCAACAATTTAACATAAATATAAAATTTTATGTTTATATGAATATTTTATTTCATCCAAAAATGAAAATATAGATAAAAGATAAGATCGATAATTAGAAAGCTTATTTTTATTATTTATTATTTTATTTTCTTACTAATAAATCATTGAGGATTTTATTTTTTTCTTGTAAATTATCAATACAAATTTAAATTTTGATGACAATCCATGAAAACCTTGTTGATATAAATATATCATTACCTTTTCCCTCTCATTCTCAAACTTATTTTTCACATTATTATTATTATTATATTATTTTATGTCTTTGTTATTTTTTTATATACTCACCCTTTATATATACATTATATTATCTTATATCCTTATTGATATTCTTATTATTTTTTAATTATTTAAATATATTATGGTATAAGAGTCATTTTTTGTAAGGATTCTGTTTTTTTTATTCTTTATCATTATTATTGATAATCAAACATTTTATGTATATAATTATTTTTACCTCTATCCTAGCGACAATATTAATATCTTCTTTTCTTGATTACACCAATTATCATTCATGTCAATGCAACAATATGGTTATGTCTTGGATAATGTATTCTATTTTCATTCTGATACGTCATAATATTTTTTGGATGGACAATACTAAAGATATATGAAAAGATATAAAATCACGATATGTATAAGAAGATTTCGTCTATTTTCCACTCTTATAGTTTAAACATTTGTCTTCATATTACTTAGAGTGAACCTCTTCAAGATGTCTCCATATATTATCGTCTAATTAACATACTTATCTACTTAACTCATATGTTCTGACATCACTTATGTTATGCAAAATTTGAGTCTCTTTATGTCATCTTCTATTCAAGTTCATTATCAAACTGTCTTCTACATTCTTTCCTATTTAAAAAGGACACATGGTACAAACATATATATTTTTGTTAAAACTCCTTTTCAACTTAAGGCCTTCAGTGATTCGAATTGGGCAGGTTATGTTGACATTCACCGTTCTATCACTAGTTTTTATATCTATCTTGATTCTTTATTAATATCATAGTGCTCTAAGAACACAATTTAAGGTGTCTAAGAGTTCTTTCAAAGTTGAGTACATTGAGAAATTACGGTTTAGGTGGTGACTGACTCGGTTAAGTACAATTAAGAATAGGTGAAAGATCTTATATTATGGATCCTTGTGTCAAAAATTTTTGTAACATGAATTTCAGACAAGCTAGTCCCATTAAGTTGAATAACGGTACAAGTAGGTATTTATGGTTAAGAAATGTTTCTGCTCGAGAGCGTGATGAATCAATGTGAAAGTGAATCACACTTGAGGGAAAGAATGATAAGAATTCAAGTGTGTTTGAAGTTTCACATTGGATAGAAATGAGAAAGTTAATTAACTTATAAATGAAAAAGACCAATAACCTAATGTCTTAAAAATTTGAGATAAAGATAATATCATATATTTGTAAGAATTTTATTGTTGTTAATCTCTTTCAAAAGATCTAATACTATACAAGGACTTCCACCACTCCACATTATTTATATATATATATATATATATATATATATATATATATATATATATATATATATATATATGCACATATATATACATATATATATATTTTTTTTTTTTCTGATGGTTATATCTGTTAAGTAAAAAGAAAGATATATTTTGTTTATTTATTTAAAATTAAACGATTTTATGTAGATCAAAATGTTACCTGACCTAACACGTGACTGAATTAATTTGATTCGAAAACAATTTTTTCTTACCCCGTCTCAAATAAAGCTCAGCAGCATTTAGGACTTCACATAAATCACCAAAACTTTGGATTAAAATTGAATGACATTCCAATGCCTGGATGTAAATGAAAAAAAATAAAAATTACAGAGGACAATTTGTGAAAACAATTACAAAAATTATTACGAAAATGTTAAAAATAAAATAATAAATTTTAAACAATAATTAAAATATACAATTAATAAACGGTTATTAAAATATCAAGATAAAATTATAATTTTAAATAAAAATAATTAAGAAATTAGAAAAATTTATATAATATAAAAAGTAAAGTATAAAGGAATTATGTATAAAAAAAGGTTTACATACATAATTTCTTTTAATAATATAGAATATAGATACCATAAAATAATTGATTTATCTTTGAAATTGTAGACGAGTTTCTTTGTGTTTGAAATAACTAGAAGCGGCCCATATTGATACTAACTGGGCCCATTTTGAAATAAGTAAAAGCGGTCCATTGTGATGGTTACTGAAACTTAAGCCCTCCACGTAATGCAATGAATCGGGTTGAATCCAGATCCCGGTTTGCAAGTGGCAAGTTCCTTTTCGTTGTTAATTATGAGAAATTGCTTCACTTCTCAATTTTCCTTGAAATTCTTCTACCTGGTTCGTTAATCCAAGCAAAGTGTTCCTGCTTCGTTCTGGAACAGTATCTCTCATCGCGATCTTTCGAAAACCCTACTCTCTCTCAAGAAGCTGCTCGGAAGGATCGAGCAGTTTCGAATTTGATTCAGCATGAATGTCAGTGAGCTCAATTCGGTGTTGTGATTCGCACAATCATGTGGTTTTCCTTCTGGAGATCCAGAGATCGTTTTACCTTGGATAATCTCAGGTTTGCATCACAAATCCGGCGAATTGCGTGTAATCAAATTCTCGAAAATGCACCTTATTGTTGAACACATATTAAATTAAAATAAAATCTGCATTTCTCTTTTGGGCGATCGGTGATGCAATACGCCTCTCTTTCTGTGCCTGATAATTATAGTTTGAGAGTTTTGTTTGTTTTGATTCTGTTTGTGGTTGAATTGAAGTGAAGAATCTCGGCTTTCGAAATTTCTGCTCTTTCTAACTTACCGGACTGTTTGGCCTGTCCATTTGGATTATAATACTCGCTAGGTAGAATTCGATTTAGTGCATGACACCACCGAGAGTGAGAAAGAGAGAGGAAGGGATTGGGAAGAACAAAAAACTTCCATTGGCTATTGTAACCAGATACCTAATTAACTGGTTTTGTTTTCACATGAGTGACAGTGATTGGTTAAACTTTATTTGAAATTAAAAAGACACCAGTGAGGGTTCATTAAACAAGGAGTGAGACGTACGCAACTTTTCGATTCATATTCAAATTTAGACAACAATGATGAATGTGTTTAAAGGAGGGCGGTATAGAATGTTTTGCTAAGACTTTTCTTATTTTCACTTATCAAAATGCAAGAAGCGATGCGTATATATCATCTAGAGCCTATTCTTTGTTGTAAAAAAGTCCCTTATCCTTGTATCCATGTTGCCAGTTGTCAATCATCTTTCCCCCTGGTAAAATATGTATAACTGCTATTTTATAAGGTGACTGGGAAATGGTATAGAGGATAAGAGTCTTGTTGCTCTCCGGTTGTGATTTCTTGAATGTTGACTTGAAGTTCATTTTGTTGATATATATTCTTAGTGATAATTTTGCTATTGAGGGGGTAAACTTTACTGATTATTTATTTTGTTCATTCATTAAGAATTGTCCTGCTGCCTTATGGTGCTCAGGTACTTAACTGATCAATTGACAAAAGTTCAAATAGTTAACGAGGTTAATAAGGTAATAATAACTTCATCCTAAGCTCAGAGCATTCTTTGGCTCGTTTAACATGGTTTCCCTTATTTCTAAATTGTGTATTTTGGAAGGATTTTGTTATCGAGGCACTGAGATCTATTGCAGAGTTGATTACATATGGCGACCAACATGACCCAAGTTTTTTTGAGTGAGATTTACTTGTGTTTAGGTTACTTAACAAAATTTGTTTAGTGCTGGCAATTTAATATCATGGCCTGTGGCAGATTCTTCATGGAAAAGCAAGTTGTGGGAGAGTTTGTCCGTGTTCTTAAACTTAGCAGAAGTGTTAGTATTCCACTTCAGTTACTACAAACAGTGAGCATTATGATCCAGAACCTAAGAAGTGAACATGCTATATGTAAGTTGATTGTCAAATGAAATGGCCTATTCTGCAGTTACAATAGATTCTTAGGTAGATTTAACAATGTTGATGGGGTTAATTGTCGTCCTTATTGGAACTTTTGCAGATTATATGTTTAGTAATGAACATATGAACTACCTAATTACATATTCATTTGATTTTCGGAACGAAGAGCTATTGTCATACTACATATCCTTTTTAAGGTTTGTTTTAATGCATCCTGTTGTGAATGACAATTTATGATTATACTGCATGAAATCTGTTTTCTGGGGTTGTAAAGTTTTATTGACCCCTTTTGTATATTTTTGCTAACTAGTTCTTTGGTTAAATGTCTTCTGGTCATTGAAGAGCAATAAGCGGAAAATTGAACAAGAATACAATTTCTCTGCTTGTGAAGACTCACAATGTAAGTTTTCTGTTTTCTTTATCTGCTTATTTTGCTGATGATTCATATATTAGCTGAAGGGAGACTTGTAAGATGGTCTTATAATAACTATTGGATAGTTTATCTCATAAAAGGTGGACTAAGTTTTGATTTCTTTTCCTAGCTGTTGGCTATAAAAGGTGGACAATTCAGGTTTAATTGTACAGCAGATTCTGTTGGCTATAAAAGGAAGGATAAAAAATTAACTTTCAATGCAGCGAAACTTTGTTTTATATTTTCTTTAATTAGGGTTGATATTACATGTAAAATAGATTTGTGATGGTATTCCTGTACGCTGTAACAGTTCATCTCGTAAGATTATTAATTTTATGGATATTTCCATAGTTGGCAATCTGTGTTTACATGGTCTTTCAAGCTTAGTTGATTTTTTTTTTGTTAAATTACTCATTTGGTCCGTAAAATATTTGGAAATATTTTAATTGGATCTCAAACTATACATGTATGTCCTTGGGGTTGGTTTATGGTGGTTTGAAACCACTAGAAAATGACAATTATGGTTGTTATAAAAACCCTAGGGACTTAGTTAAAAAAACTACATGATCAAGGAGTCAATTCCAAAAATTTAGTTTGGGGACTTACCTGAAAATTCCCAAATAATTCAGGATCCAACTAAGTAATTTAATAATTTTTTAGATGGGTTGGTGATATAATATTACTGTACCTTTGTTAATACATGTCCACATGTTTTTACTCTACTTTTCTATGCATTTAGGAAGAAGTAGTTTCATTTCCACTGTATGTTGAGGCAATACGCTTTGCCTTTCATGAGGAGAACATGGTTCGCACTGCTGTCCGTACTGTTACCCTTAATGTTTATCATGGTAAGATTTACTGTTTTATGTGGCCTCCGCCTGCCCTCCACAATTTTTTTTTTCTGAAATCAGTTGTTATGATGCAATAAACATATATATATATATATATATATATATGTATGTATGTATGTATATGTATATATTTATATATATATACATATATATATTTTTTTCTGATGATTGTCTGTACAATTTTCAGTTGGGGATGAATGTGTTAATAGATATATAACAAGCGCACCTCACACCGAATACTTCTCAAACCTGGTTTCATTTTTTAGGAATCAATGTATGGATTTAAATAGACTGGTCTCTGAGACACTGAAGTAAGACATCATAGCTTCTTTCTCATTGGCATATTAATTTCAGATTTCCTTGTTTCCTTATCGAGAAATTATTGTTACTGAGACAGAAATCCAGGTTCAGATTCAACCTCTGCAATTATTGCTGCTGTAGATGAAATTGAGGATAACCTGTATTACTTTAGCGATGTTATCTCGGCTGGCATTCCTGATGTTGGGAGGCTAATAACAGACAGCATTTTGATGCTTCTGATTTTTCCATTACTTCTTCCTTCCCTAAGAATAGTGGAGACTAATGTATGGAACTTCACTTTATTGCTTTCTATGTTTACTTTGGGCAACATTTGCATACGTTGAAGAATCTCTAAAAGATTTTATTTAGATGTATTTTTATTTAATATTATATAAGTGTTCCTATTAATGTTTAGTAGCACATTAATCCAGGACATGCAAAGTGGTGTTGTCACTTCTCTCTACTTACTTTGTTGCATCTTAAGGATAGTCAAGATCAAAGATTTGGCAAATACCATTGTCGCTGCTCTTTTTTATCCCTTAGAGACCTTTATAAAATTTTCTAGGGGTAAAGTCAATGGCTATTCATCTGATCATGGTTTTACATCCGTAAGCAAAGAACAAGATGATGATAATATTGCCAAGTGCAAAGCAGAAGGCTTGACAGTGGATGTTCCAAACTCTTCTAGGTCTTCAGATTTATACCCTGAAAGTGTTATGTCAGAAGATAATTGTAGCAATTCAAATTTGGCATTAAGGCAAGGGCCACTCTTTTCAGCTGAATTTAAACTTGATTTTTGCTGATATGTTTGATTGAAAACAGTTCAGTTGGTATTTCTTCTTGTCCTTTGGATCTGGAAATATTTGTAAACTTGCCATGCCTGCTAAAATTATCACTCCAGTAGTTTTTTTCTGAGTTATTGAAGTGACAATATGCAATTTCAATTCTATCAAAGAAAAACTAGTATTGAAGATATTGTATTTTTGCTATAATTCTGATGAGTTTTTTTCTTTGTTTTTATGAACCCTAACCGATGTAGGGAGGTTTTGCTCACATATGTTACTAAAGGGGATGATGTACAAGTTTTGGGTTCTCTGAGCGTGCTTGCTACTTTACTGCAAACTAAAGGTTGTGCCAATGAATATTTGTTTGCTTTACCATTGTGTCCTCAGTTCTATTTTCTTAATATATGTTGTTCTGTAGAACTTGATGAATCCATGCTAGATAGGCTTGGAATTCTTCCACAACGGAAACAGCACAAGAAACAGTTATTGGTACGATGCCTTCCATTTTGACCATTTTAAATTTAGAAGCATTTGACTGTTGACTTTGCCTCCATTTGTCAATATGGTGCATCAGCTAGGATTTCTATTACTGATATCCACAGTTCAAATTTTTTTAATAGATTTTCTCAAAAGGTTATATTGTTGCTGCTGTAGACTATGTCATGTATTCTGTATTTTTTTGCTGGCTTTATTAGATGTGGCATTTTGTGCCAAATACTTAGCATTTTCCTTAATGTCATTCCTTCATGTTTACTGTTGACAGTTGAATTTACCTTCAACTGACATTATTAACAAAATTTCAGAAACCTCGCAATAATCTAGCCTTTTCCCACTAAATTATTGGTATCCGTGCCTCTAGCAATTAGTCTACCCTTAGTATGGTCTACTTCCCTAATTATGGCTTCTACAAGCAAGGTTGTTAAACTCAAAAGTTTAGATAAAACTCACGGAGGGCCTAACATGACTAAAAACTATGCATAACTTAAGGCAGAATAAGTAACAAAGTATCATATGGTTCATAAGTAAAAAATATACATAGGTGATGATCAAAGTAACAGAACAGTGAAAATACTAGAACAGTAAAATTATCCATAGTTAATCAAAAGTAAAATTTAAGAAGTAGAAACTAGAAAGTTAAAGCTTCATAATGTATAACACAATATTACAATTTTTTATGAATAACATTCACATCAGCTGACCTTTCTGGACAAAACAACTATCGTAACAGTGGAGCAACAGAAGCAAGGCACAGGATCACAATATTACAATTATTGAACTAACCTTATTTTGAACAAACACAGACCACAAACGCACAAGAACTCAACAAGAACAACAACCAAAAGGGTTTGTGACTCCATGAAAAAAAGTGTTGTGCCACCGCAGAGAGATGGGTATGTGAACAGCATTGCCTTCCAGACGCTAGAAGGTTCACACTTCATGAACAGAAACCAAAAGGTTCACAACTACAAAAATATCGTTGACTTGAGACTCAAGAAGGGTTTTCTGTTCACAAACAACTGAATTGACAGAGGTGACTCTGAATCAACAGCAACAACAGCTTCAAAGGATTTGGGAGGATAAAGGTTTTTATTTTTTGTGAAGCTTAGGGTTTGAATCAATACTTTGAAGGAGGTTCCTAAAGTGGAATGAAAATGTCATCGTTTTTGTGGAAGAGGTCACCGCAAATTCTGAAATGTATCTGAACTTCCGAAAGTTGGTCATGAACTTGCAACATTACTGAATTTGACTGAGTTTACTGATTTCACTTGAGTTTATGATAATGTGAGTTTACATGAGCTAGTGTATTTTAGTTCCCTAAACTTGTAAACGTGTATGAGTTAAAACTTGAGTTTAACAAGCATGCTAACAAGTACTCTCTACACATCCCTGAATCAGCCAAGGTAAAGTTTAACCTTTATTTTTTTACATAAGGTACTACCTCATATGTATAGAAGTTCCTGTTCAATAGATTGTTCTTAATCTTATCGTTTGTAGTATATCTACTCATCTAATGCAACATTCTTATCTATGCTGCATTGATTTTATTCTATTGACTTTTTACTGTCCACCATTCTGTGTCACATGTAGGTCCTATAGCTGTGCGCTAAAATTTTTGCCTAAGCGAGAGTGGTGTCTTCCTGTCATAACACTCAAACCACTCAATTCCTTTTCACCTTGTTTGAATTTACATCTCCATCTATTTCTTCCTTCATTTATATGATATATATGATGAACCCAAAAAACTTTAAGCGTGAGTTGTTGTATAGTACAATCTCAAATTTTCACTTCAAATTAAGGATTAGTGCACCTCTTGCTTAACTTTCATTTTACTTTAAATGAAAGCTATATGTTTCCAATGCTTGTGTCTTCATAACTACTCATTTATTTCCTCTCTTGACTATTCAACTATGATTATATTGTCAGCAAAAATAAGATTCAAGACTTTTTGTTAATAATCTTGATGGCACATAGTAACATACCTACTATTCTTGTATTTGATAATCTATTAGTGAAGTTGAAAGTGTGGAGAAGGCTTTGTTCAAGGCTTGGCATGCGAAGGAAGAGTAGAAAGTTGTTTTGTGGATAGAACAAGAAATAGAAACGTTTGTTGAAGGCAGGAATTGCAAAATTGAAACACTTGTAGAAATATACTATTCACTTGTGGCTAGAATATATTTGAATTAATTTTTGACAGAATAACTTTTTTTTTTTAGGAAATGAAGTTAGGATGTGTGAAAACATAATATTTTTAATGTCTTGAAAAATTATAAACGAAAAGTATTTTAATCTCTTGTTTACTAGAAGAAACAATGATTAATATAGTGGAGGATTTGAGTGTTTACTTAGGTTATTGCTAGATGGTTTATGATAAAGATCTAAAAGCATCTCCAATGGCTGTTTCTTATTGAGATGCTTAAATAAAATATTAGTTGCTTGAAGTAATTTTTCATTGGAGGAATCCATGCGGCATGATAAGTGCTTAAATTTTTCTGATAGTTGCATCATCAAGCAACTTAAAAAAATAAGCAAATCAAAGTAAATGAGGAGAGAGAATGAAATTTTTTTTAAATTTATTAAAAAAACTTCTAATGGAGTAAAATTAATAGTGAGTTGCTTAAAAATAATGTGGAATCATAAATTCTTCTTTTACATTTTTCAAGGTAATAAGTAACTCATGTGAGTTATTCTTATTGGACATGCCCTAAGCTCGGATCATGATTGCTTATCGTTCTAAACAATTTCTATTGACAATTAAATAAAATAGAAAATGTGAACAGAGATAAGAAATGAAGATGCAACAATCCTCATAGATAAGGTGAGGAGGATTTACCACTTGGAATCGGAAATTCAAAGATAAGAATCAAAAGTTCTTCAAAAGAAATTTGAGAGAATTTCTCTCACAAAGCTAAATTACAATTTTCTCAAAATTTGTATTATGAATAAAAGAGTTTATAAAAAGTCTTATATATTATGGACATAAGGTTCAAGATCCACTTACTAATTAGGCCCATTCAATAAGACATAAGCCCAATAATAGAAATAAAAATTATAGAAACAAATACAAGACTTAATAAAGATCCAATACCAAAAATTACAAAAATTAAATCTAAAAATTATAATTAACAATATAAAAATTCTATTTTTATTTTTGACCCCTTCATGCACTCATCAGTTTTATTAGGTTTTTCCTGTTCAGTTTAAAATAGGGGCTCATTTTGGTAGGAGGGGGAAATAGCTTAGTTGGAATGTAGTGAAGTGGTGCTTCTTTCCACTTTTGATGAATTTGGTCCATTGTTGTATGTTACATAATTGGTGTTGCATATTTCTGCAGCAAGCTTTGGTTGGCGAGACTTCAGGTGAAGAACAACTTTTTTCTTCTGAAAATGGCTTGATGAGGGATAGCATTAGCTGTGAGGTCAATGTCTATCTTGAAAAGATTAAGGTTCGCAGTTTCTTGTAATTAAGTGTTAGTGGCTGTCTTTTATTTGACTCCTTATTGAAGCAGGCTTGGTTCTATGCTTTTCTATTTAGTAATTTAATTTTACTAGCTGACTCTGTCATTAGATTTAATATCTGATTGTTTCCAGTTTCTTCTCTTGCTTGTTCTTAGTTAGTCTAGTTGAGGATATTTGCATGTCTGGTCTTCTGAGGCAGGAATGCTCATAGGACACAAATAATTAACAAGGTTTATCTTAATACTGATTGAATACTGGATTTTTCTAAACAAAGTTTCCTTTCTGGTTTTAGTTACTAATTTGAGCAATTGGTAAAATTTGTCCTCCTCTCCGTCATGCATGTGGCAGAGACTTGTTGTAGTATGTGTTGCTATAGATTTCTTTGACATTACCTAAATTGTATTGATACTTTTCTTCATTATAATTTTTTTCTCATGGGACCATAATTAATTTTATCACCTAGAGGGAATTGGGGATGGCTGATCATGATCTCAAGGATTTACCAAAGGATCATGGCTTATTTGCTTCCTTCTCCCTTAAGGATCCCTATGTTGTATCTTTCAAGTATAATTAAGAATGTTTTGGGATATTTTTGCATACCCTATTTTGAAAATTGGGGGGAGTTGGTTAACCTTGAACCAGTCCTCCAGCTGTTCTGACCTGGCTTATGCAACTGGATTCTCATGAGCCAATAACAAACTGGCCAAACCTCATAAATTGGTTAATGAATTTCAAAAAAATGAAGGAAGAACAGGTTGACACCCCTTGCTTCCATCACTAAAGCAAATGTGCTTTTTTTGGTCAAATTTTCTTAATGTAAGTTATTATATTTCATAATGTGATTAAATATATTCCTATTTTTATACAATGTGTATGTTCCATGGTTATGGGGAAGAGAATCTGATATGATCTGAAACAAATACAATTAATGTCATCTTGATAGCTTCTTTGGTGAGGAAAATAAATTAAATTATGATTTTCTGTGCAATAATTTTGAAAGGGAAAAGATTGCAATAATGAGAAAATTCTTAGAAGGAGGTGATTGTATATAATAGAACTTGAGTCTGCGTGCATTTTAATTTTATTTAAATAGTACATTGAGGTTATGACGGGCATCCACTGGTAAAGTATTGTGTATTGGTTTTGGTATGGATGTGCCACCGCATTTGGAGTGTCTATGTATCATAAATTTAACATAAATTTTTACTAAATGGATATTTGGAATTTTGACTGTTTTAATAATTTCTAATAGATCATATCTAAATTTGACTCAATTTTATGATGTATTTGTGGAGCAAACAGTGTTGTGTTTTTCTTACTAATATTTATAAGCTCCTTTGATTGATATTGGTTTTCTTAAATTTAGTTTACCAATGTTTACAGGAGCTCTACGGTTTAGATTTTCTCTGTACTGATGTTTTAACAAGCCCAAGTGTCCCTAGATTTCAGGTACATGTTTGTATCTTGTTTATGCTTGTGTTCTTTATTGTAATAGTTTCATGTTTACAATGTAAATGTCCCTGACTCATTATTGATTGGCACTTGGCACATGTTTTCATTTAAGATATTGGAACTGTAGCACTAGCATATTGGCTAATTGTATCCTTATTATATGTCATATTATCGTAGACCTTTGATTTCGTCATTTTTTGAAAAGAAAAAATTAAAATTGGTGAGGATTTATATTAAAGAGTAAGGAGGTAAAGTACACTGGGGAAGGATAATATATTATCTGAAACACAAGAAATTAAATACAACAAAGAGCATGAGAGAGATTCAGGAATTTCTTTGATAAAAGAGAAGTTTAGGTGAGTTAAGCTTTAAGGCTTAAAGAGCACTTACTGAGGTATGCAGCAAAGAAAGACAGCCCAGTCTCTGCATATTAGAAATAGCAACTTGAAACAGCCATTGGCCAAAGAAATAGCATATTTCAGGGAAATAAAACTCAAGGATGTGTTTCTTGATATTATATATGCATAACATAATATGGATAACATTCATAATATTAAAAATTAAATATCACTTACAAATGTCATACATCAAAGCATATAATATTCAAAATCAAATAGAAATTCAAATCACTAGCATTTAAGTTCAATAACACATGATATATTTATTAGATATTAGAATTTGCAATTAAATAAAAATAATTATAAAGTATCATAATATTGGAAAAGAATTGTATTAAACATCATGATATTTTTTTAATTTGAAAAAAAAAACATTTTTTTCTCTTTTTTTCCAGCGTACTCAATGATTATGAAAGTTTGGCCACTAACCGGTTTTATACTGTCTTTTCAAAGGCCAGTTTTTGGGATTAAATGAGCTGATCTATTGTCTGGTCCCAGTCTTACAATTAGTTCTTGTCTAGTTTTGACGGCATATGGAATGCTTTACTTAAACATGTAATGATTAGTTGTTCTGAGTATTGTTGCAACAATTATGTCAGTTAGCCTTTTTCTGCAATACCAAGGTCTATCATATTATGTTGAGTAATTTAAGTATACAAAATGCGCGTGTGCTTTTATCAGGTGCTCGATGCATTAGTTAGCCTGTTCTGCCGTTCAAATATATCTGCAGAGACACTGTGGGATGGTGGTTGGCTCTTACGCCAATTGCTTCCTTACAGTGAAGCGGAATTCAATCATCATCACCTGGAATTGCTACAGGTAAGAACATATGAGGCTTTACCAGCAACACCCACAAAGATTTGATGCATGTGCCTATACTCCTGTATTGTTTGTATATGTAAGATGTCCACATCTGTGCTTAGTATATTGAAGTGATTTTTGAGTGGAGTTGATTTGCACACATGGAACATTTAGTTCATTTAAAATTTGATGTTCTTCCAGATATATAACTGGCGAGGACTTGATTATTTTTATGTAGATGAAGTAAGAGAAGAGACTTTTTTATTGCAATGAACAATGTGTTTTCGGAGATGGTGAACATAATAGCGTTATTATACTCTCCTAAAGTGTATAATAGAAGAAATATATTTGAGTCCAATGGTGATGTGTAATCTATATAGTTGACCTCATATAGTTGTATGAGGACGCTTGCATTAACGCAAGCCCTATTGATACACAAAATAACTAACAGTCAATTACTACATCAAATGTATTGGTATAGACATGAATGTACCATATTTTCATTTGGTTATTGTCAATGCATTCAATAGATGAATCTCATATCTGCTATGTGCATCCCTAATAGCTGTTGCATCTACTTTGGTCCCAAACACAGGTTTCATACAAGAATTCTGTTAGTGCTCTTGTAAAGGAGGTTAGAGGTTTCTGGCCTGACTTTCTTATTACCGTGCTTTGCAATGAGTGGAAAAAGTGCAAAAGAGGTGATTTTATAACATATCTTGTATTCTTGCTGTGCTTATGGATGTCTTATGTTCAAGTGTTTTACTTTTGTGCCTCAAACCAAGTAATTGTTTACTTGTAGCAATGGAGTCGTCATACCCTCCAAAAGAACCAAAGTGCGTACTTTTTCCTTCTCAGGTGAAATCCTCAAAAGGTAAGCTTGTTCCATCTAGCTGTCCAACATTCATTTTGTCCTTTGGCTGGTGCTTCTAGGAGAATTGTATGAAGGCCTTTAATTGATGTTTCTGTGTATACAGAAGATATACCTGAGGGCTCATCATTTGCTGCTGGAGAAAGAATGCATGAGTTGGCAAAGGTCTGCAATTATTCTTTGTTTTGTTATTTTCCTAGAAGTGAACTAATGGCAACACGCTAACACTGTTGGACTTTTCTCCATTATTTTTTCTTGCATTGTGTACCCCACTCTTTCTCTTAGGTATTTGTAGTTCTGCACCAACTTCAAATATTCACTCTAGGTAAACCTTTACCCGAGAAACCTCTTATTTATCCTCCTGGTGATCTCCCAGTGAATTCTCGCGCCCAGGCTTCTGGACTTGATTCGTCAGGACCTAAACCAGGAACTGAAGTCAGCCTTGGTAAATGTTTCTAACTGGAGTTTTCTGTTTTCTCTCTTCTCTATTTTACATATAAAGAGGTTATTACTTTGACTTAGGAAGGATAAAATGGCAAAAGGAAGAAAGAGAAGAACCTTGGGTTTTGGGCATGTTTGGAGGAGGGGGGTGGGGTAGGAATAAACTCTGTTGTCATTCTAATAGTAATAAACACATGATATGATAACCAAGTAGTCCTAATTTCAAATAGATGTTTACAATATGCACTATCTTTAAAACACCTACTACTGATAGATACCCATTTTGAATTGTACCAAAACATACAAATATCTTATATTTCAAAAATCCTGATTTTCATATCCTATGATGCAGGATACGATATGTGCATCTAATATGGCAATACGTCTATTTTGAGAACATTAGGATAAAATACATGCAAAATTATATATTTATAAATGTATACAAAATCATAAAACATTATAAATATATAACCTCAATTTTGCTGATCCAAATTAAAAATACGTTTCTTTGAAATTCTCCAAATGACAAATTCTAAATCATTTTCATCATCATAAATTACTTTTACATATAGTACTAACAGTACTAATCTTGTTACTTTTTAAATAATTCATAAAGAGAACAACTCCCATCGTTGGTTTATGAAGAGACAATGGTTCTATGTTTCTATATTACACACACTTGTATGTTTCTTGTTGTCAATCTCTCAAAGATGTGGCTACCATAGGTATCTCCAAATCTTTTGAACAAATGATTACCAAATGAATATGGGTTCACTTGGCACCAATAATACAACTTAAGCATTGCGACACTTGCTATGCTCATGAATGCATATTGCAACTTACGGAATGAATGAATTTCTTATTTCCAAAGAATTTTTCATCCCTAGAAATCCACCCAATTGGGTCTGTCCCCACAAACATTGACAACTTCCCCTTGGCCCAAAGTTGTGCTTGCTCCATCTCTAACACTGGTTCTCCTTCGAAGATTTGACAGGTTGGATCTATTTGTTAGGAAATGAAAATTGAAATGAGAAAGGAAAGACAATTTTTGCTGAATAGAATGAAAAGAACAAGAAATAGAACACTCTCCTCTAAGGATTTCCCCTTCATAAATTATTTCTCCTTTCCCAAAGAGCCAAATCTCAACTTACAATAACAACAAATTTGATTCTCTCTTATCATTCTCCCCTATTTATATATGCAGAAAATACATTATGTATTTCTTATTTTGGACAAAATACATAGGAGGTATAAATAGAATACAAGGGAACAAACATGTACACTAATCTATCCCTGAAATTCAGGGAAATATTCTCTCTATAAATGCTGTACATAAATAAAGAAATAAAACTAATCATATTAGCATTAAATCCTATTATGGATAGTATAAATAAGAATTGACTTATTCTAATTGATATACATTGATTTCCAACACTCCTTGATAACAATATTTTGGTCGCACAAAATACTGATAAAAAATAATAAACAAGTTGCTAAACTAATACAACATAGCTAACTCGTGTCTAATCTCTTAAGGACACAATTATAGAAATATACTCATTATCACATATCATTATCTCTAAAATAGTAATAAATAGGGGATGGATGAATGAGTGAAAAACAAATAAATTGATGCAGAATAATACAAATTAAAATCAAATTGCTATAGAAGATTGACGACAATTAATATTAAACGGAAACAAAATTTAAATAACTGAAATTTATTAAACTAAGATAAAATGCTTTTAATTAAAAGTGCAGGAATCAAGAATTGCATTGAAATAAAATAGTGCAGTAATTAAATTTGAAATTTTCTGAAAACGATAACTCTAAAACTAAATTGCGAATTGAAATTGGAAACGTGACGAATTGAAAATGAAAATTATACAATATTGGAATAAAAATTCTAAACACTTAAATAGCAGAAATTAAAATGAGCACTGAATAAATAAAATAACTAGAGATAAATTGAAAAATTCAATAGAAATTGCAAATCAAATAAAAGAGAACAAACCAGAAGTGCAGTAGCAGTAGATGAACTCACCTAACTAAAACTAAACTACAAACTGAGAGTAGGAAAAAAAAATGGGGACGAGACAAAACAACAATTCTCACCCCAAGCTAGAAGATTCTAATTGTGGGTTGTCGTAAGACCTCTATTTATAGGGGTTTGAACAAGAGAAATTAAGCCTAAAATTAATTATAATAAAAGTCAAATATTTCTCAAATAAATAATTGCAAAATCTGATTGTTGTGAAGAGAAATTTTTGGGACTGATTTAGAGAAAATAGTCTGCTTCTTTCCTATTTTGAGTGATCCAGCATTGGTTTGTATTTAATTCTTGATTTTCTGCTGGCCTTTAATTCAGCTAAATTGGATTTCCGCACCAGTTAATTTGCTTGATTCAAAATTTCCATTTGTAAAATTCTGCAAGTGGGCTGTATAAGCAAACTTGGACTTTCAAGAAGAGTGAAACTTGACAACATCATTTTGGACATTTCTTTATATCAATTTGACTCATCTTAAATTACCTCTCCTACAAAAGAAGAAAAAGAAATATGCAATGTGGATATATGCATGTATATTATTTATTATGCTAAAACTACGTTGAATGTAATAAATTAAGAAAAACTAAATTATGCTATGTTTTTAATGAAAATATGTTAAATGCATAGTTTATGAATAAAATAACTAGCTTAGAAAATGTTCTTAGATGAAGAAATAAAGAGTAAAATGACATAGATCACTCCCCCTCAATCTGGGTGGTAGATGTCTATCATACCCAGATTGGATCTAATGTTTTCATATGCTATTTGCATGATGGAACATGGTCAACACTTATAATACCATGGTCAATTTTTTATTTAATGAAGTGTTGGTGAATTTTCACATGCTTTGTCCTATTATGGTGGACTGGGTTCTTTTGTAATGCTTACAGCAGCTTTGTTGTCACACATTATCCTCATAGTGTAATTGATAGGAATTCTGATTTTATCCAACGTCCTCTTAAGTCTGATTTTGCACTTTTCCTTGCCACCAGGCTGCTTCTTGCTTCTCTAAGTCACCAACTTACCCCACATAAAGGAATAATAGCCTGTAATTGATTTTCTGTCAAAGGGGCATTCTGCCCAATCCAAGTTTGTATAGACTTCAATACGTTGAGTTTTTCTTGAAGTAGAGCCCTCGACCATGTGTATCTTTGAGGTATAGGAGTATTCTGTTCGACATTTTCATGGTGGCCTCAGTTGGATTAGATATATAACGACTAACAAGCTGATAGCAAACCTAATGTCGGGCCTATTGAGTTAGGTTGATTAGCTTCTCAACTAGTGTTTGATATCAATCTTTATCAGCTGGTGGACTTTCCTCTTCACCTCTCTTTTCCGGTTCAATGGGAGTATTGGCTGCCTTACACGTAAACATGTCGGCTTCTTGAAATAAGTCCAGTGTATATTTTCTTTGTGATACATAAATACTATTCTTGGTCTGAGCAACTTTCATCCTTAGAAAGTATTTGAGCTGGTCCAAGTCCTTGACTTTAAATTCCTTGGCCAAAAGTCCGTTCAAATGCTTGATTTGATCATAATGGTTTCCTATGATAACAATATTAGCAACATAAACAATGAACAAGGCTACCTTCCCTTCCACGGATTGTTTGACAAACATCGTGTGATCTGATTGACATTGGTTGAATCCATCTTTCTTGACAACCCGAGTAAATCTATCAAGCCATACTCTCGGAGATTGCTTAAGGCTATATAAAGATTTTCGGAGCCTACACACCATGTTTGCGGTTTTGGATGATTCAGTCCCGGAGGAATTGACATAAAGACTTCTTCTAGTTCATCGTTTAGGAAAACATTTTTTATGTCTAGTTAGTAAAGCGGCCAATCTAAATATGGAGTGGACTATGAAGAGACTTTTACACCGGTGGCCAAACTCAATTCAATCCGAGTCATACTCTCTTTAGCTGCAAATTTAGATTGACCACTTTATCAACTAGACGTCAAAAATGTCTTCCTAAACGGTGAACTAGAAGTCTATATGCAAATTCCTCTGGGACTTGAATCATCCAAAACCTCAAACATGGTGTGTGGGCTCCTGAATCAATGATCCATGACTTTAATTTTCCTGTGCTAGTATTTAGAGTATGCAAGAAATTACCTTTTTGTGCTAATGCAACTGTACTAATTGTCTGTTGGAGAATTTTTTGTAGTGCTTCCATTTGCTCCTTGCCGAATGGAGATGAATTTGAATTTCCCTCTGCTGTGTTGTCTCTACTGTCCAAGTTTTTTGTCTATTTTGCCTCTGAAAGCTTATCATGAATGATCCAGTAGGTGTCCTTAGTGTGCTCGAGTTTCTTGCAGTGATCGCACCAAACCAATTTTTCTTTTGAGATGGGCTTCCCCTTGCTGCCATTACTAAGCCTTCAATGGGTGGGGCTGCACTTGACTTTTCAAGGATTCTCCCTCGGACTTCATCAAGTTCTGTGTTCAACCCTAATAGAAATTTGTAGATCCTATATTTGTCCACCAATGCTTTATACTTCTTATCCTCGGTAGAACTCCATTGAACGTCTTCATATATGTCTAATTGCTGCCAAAGTTGGCTGGGTGTATTAAAATACTCAGTGTCTGAAAAATCGTCTAGTCACAGGTCACGAAGTATGCTTTTGATCTCAAATATTGCATACATATTGTCCACATTTGAGTAGGTTTTCTTCACTGCATTCCACATCTCCGTCGCATGCATGAAATTTCCCCAATTTCAATAGTCATGGTGTTGAGCAATCATGACATGATTAAACTGTTTTCTATTTGCGATTTGTTGAGGTTAGGGTTACCCTTTTTTGGACTCTTAGCGTCTCCTGTGATGTGTAACCTTCCTTCCCTCTTCCTGGAAAAAAGATCTTTACTGATCGCACCCAACGAGGGTAATTCTGACCATTCAATTTGTGACCAGTAATAGGAAGAACAGACTTTTCGACCAAACAGGTAGCCGAATCTTCTGTCTTGTTCTCTCCCATGGTTGGCGGCACTAAGTTAGGGGTGGTTCAAATCGAGCTCTGATATCATGTAGAAAATACGTTGTGTATTTCTTATTTTTGGAAAAAATACAAAGGAGGGATAAATAGAATACAAGGGAACAAACCTGTACATTAATCTATCCATTAAAATCAATATTCGCACTAAATCCTATTATGGACAGGACAAATTAGAGTTGAATTATTCTAATTGAAATGTACTGATTTCCAACAATATCTACCTAACTTATTAATATTTCAACTATCTTAACCAGCTTCTCTTTCTCTTTATATCTTGATAGTATCTCAGAATTTAGGGTAATTCAGCCCTATAACCCAATTTTTACGCTGAAGTTTGCACCCTACTTATATATTATTTTTTGTTAGTTTTAAAAAGCTGGGCAGTAGCTTAGTCGTAAAGAATACCCTTGAAAAGGAAATCATTGCGAAGAGATTATGTCCTTTGGTCTCTGATTCAGTTAACCATTACAGAAGTGTTCTTACTCTCTTCTCAAATTCTCAGCTCTCTTTCTAAAACCTAAGATGTTTTATGTTGGGTCTTCTACAAATTTAACCCAAATGCCAGGTCCCTTATGTAGGGTTGTTTTCACAGGCTGATTTGCATGGAAATGCTTGAAACTTGTGGGCCCAGTTGTCAAAATTTCCACACTGAAATCCTTATATTTAGCTTGACAGCTAGTCTAGCTTGTGGACTTTTTCTATTTTTGAGGCCATTATTCTTCTTAGCTACTAGACTCCTTAAATGCACAAAGACATGATAGAGAGCACAGTGCCAGTAAAGCAATTGCACTTTGGTAATTACTTAAATAATCTAATTAAAAATTATATTTTATCATTTCAAATGAATCACAATCATTGAAAAACTTAATATTCATTTTTCTTACCTTTTCACTCTCTTTCTTCTAATCCAAACAACTTGAGTTTCTACACTATTTTTTTCTATTTCCAGTCCCTCACTTTTTCACCTCTTAATCCAAAACACAGGCTTACAGTTTTTCATTCATAATGACAACCAGTGTCATTTTAGATCTTTTGAGACGGTAATTTGATAACAAAATTTGTAGAAGATTTACAACTGTGTCATAGATCTTTGAGGGGTTAATATGATAACCAAAATTTGTAGGATCAATTTGGTGATGTTTGTAACTTTAGCGGACTTAATTGTGGGTATTCTTCAAGTTCTTTTTTTTATTGTTTGTGAATATGTTCCACCCAAGGTTGTAATTCCATTTATCTTGTTAGAAGAGGTACATAATAGTATTGTAGGTAGACAATCAACTAGTTTTTGGTCAAATTGCTCTTATTTTCCATGTGCAGTTAATGCTGTGCCTTGTAGAATTGCATTCGAAAGGGGCAAAGAGCGTCATTTTTGCTTTCTAGCAATCTCTGTAGGCACGTGTGGGTGGCTTGTGCTTGCAGAAGAGCTGCCACTGAAGAAGCCCTTTGGAGTTGTTCGGGTTGCTGCACCTTTGGCTGGGAGCAATGTATGTATATTTGACTGCTACCTTTGCATTTTTATCTCGAATCATGTATAGTTTTGATAGCCAACGACTATGGTGCAAAGTTATGTTGTTGGTTTAGTTTGACACAAAATCGAACAGTGAATGTTATTTTAAAAATGGAATTTTACAATTACTTTTACTTTGATTACTCGGTATATGATACTTTTTACTATCATTTTTACTTCGATTAGTAAGTATATAATCATTTTCTGTCCTCATTTTTGTAGCCCAGGATTGATGATAAACATCCAAAATGGTTACATCTGCGGATTCGACCATCTTCTTTGCCTATTCTGGATCCTGCCAAGTTCAATATCCACGGGAAATTAAAGACAAGAGCTTTTGTGGATGGAAGATGGACATTGGCGTTCAGGGATGGGGAGTCTTGCAAGTCTGCTTTATGCATGATTGTTGAAGAGATTAATTTTCTGTGTGACGAGGTTCACAGAAGACTAAAGCCTTTGCTCAACCTTGAAACCTCATTGGATTTATCAGGTCTTGCAGAGGAGGATTCCTCTTCAAATACAACACCTCGCAATTCGGAGTAAGGTCTTTGACTTTATTTACAATAACAGGCTGCTTTCTACTCGTGGGGTGGGAAATTATTTAAGTCGATCACCCTTTTCGTATATCCTCCTAAAATACATGCCAAATTTGTAGATTGATTTAGTGCGCCATTCTTTTTGTATACTAGCCTTTCCATTTCCTGATTTGTAAGTTCATATTCACTCTTTCATTCTTTAGGAGCTCTAACCTAGGCCCCATATATTTTTTTGTACTACATTATTGCTAAGCTCTGTAACAAATGTAAATGTGAGGCAACCCTTTAATGAAAATTTTATTCCTTATCCAAAAAAATGTCTATTTACGTATTTATTTTAACGAGTTATTGCTAAGTACATCGATTATGGAATAATGATAGGTTGGGCTAGCCAACGATTCCTTCAATTCATACGAGGAATCATTGATGACCTTGAATTCAATTGTCATACATGGATGAGTTGATGTAATTCCATTTTACCCGCATTAATCATACACAATTCAGTGAATTGCCACTCATCCCTTTCACCCTTTTTTCATAAGAAGTAGAAAAGTCAACAAATTGAATTGTTAACTGAAAAGAAATCAAGAATATTATTGAAAGCTTCTTAATTGATTACTTTAATGTTTTAGTTCATTATGGCCCTTAAGAAATACATACATTTTAATGTGGAGCATGAGATAAATGTTATTGACAAAAATGTGCATTTTACTGTTTTTACCTGTATCTTTTGGTACGATGAAATTTCAAGTCTGTGTGAGTTGGAAAGAGGATGTTTTCCTCATTCCGAAGTCAAAAGAAATATGCTGTCAATTATCTTTTACGCTGAAATTACAACTTGCCTACTAATGGAAGTTCAGGAATCTAACAAAGTCACGTGAAACCAGTGAGCAGTGGAAGGATTTCATCACCACTTCATTAATTTTAGGTTTTTAATTTATTGAACGGGACATCATAACTCGACATGAGTTATTTTGTTCTAGACGATGGATCCCTTGATTTGAGAAATATCTTGTTGTTTGTCTCTGTGTTAAACAAGGTTTATTTATTCTGCTCTTTGATTTTAAAGAATTTAAAAATACACATTTATAACATTAGATTTGAATATGATTTATTAGAATTCTGATAGGACTTATTTACTTTCTTGTTCTAAGAGTCTGCTAATTTATTAAATGAAGCTAAGAAGGACAGAAAGTTAGGTAGACACCTACAGAAGGAAAGATGTATGATACGATGTTATAAGTAGGAAAAAAAATGAAAATTACGATATAATTAATGTTGATGAAATATATGATATGAGATGTTTACACGTCCATTTATATTTGACTTTTTCTGAAGTTGCATTACGTGCCAGATTGCCTCTATTTTTTTTCCTTTTCTTTATCTTTTAATTTCTTTGTATAATTAACCATATTCTGCATTTTCTTGCAATATTGAAAAAATGACATAACAACGATCAAACAAGACTCTCTTGAAAAACTTTCTCTAGTTTTTGTTAAATTGAGGAGAGCTTGTCGATGTTTAAGCATGCAAGATTAAACGAATAATTATGCACCATATGGAAGTAATAATATGGCAATAGGAAAGTAAAAATAGTGAGAGAATTATTATGTTTTAACCTGGAAGGTCAGAATACGTTTAAAAAATGATACACATCAAATTGAATTCAGGACTCCAATCATGTATCTCTCACATTCAACACAGTTTTGTCCACTCATTACGCCGACATCGTGTGTCTGTATCAGCAAATGCGGAATTCTCTCATAGTACACATTCTTTTTCTTTAAATAGCAAAACCCACTTTTTTCTCCTTTTGTATGATTTTTGTTTTCTCCACTCGATAAATGTTTTTGAGCTAAAAAGAATATATATCAAATGCAAAAAAATATAACCGTAAGGAAATATATGTACTATAAGGATATGAAGATAGTGGTAGCGAGAGTGAGGAGTGTCACTAAAAATCTATGATTGATGGGTAATTCATGAAATTCAAGGACTTGTTGGGGTCCTGTTTCAGGGCACATACCAATATCCAAACATAAATTGAAGATTTTTTTTTTTTTTTTTTAGGATTACACATTCTTTACAATAAATGGTTTTATTTACATTGAGAATATCCATAACATTCTATTACTATTTAAAATGACCAAATAGTTTATTTTCAATCCATTTTGGTTTATCTTACTTAACATGTGGTTTTCAATATATTTCTCATATGGTTGATCTGTGAATAATATGGTAAATGACGTGTTAATGGGTCCAAGATAAGTTATCATCTTATAGTTTGAATTTTAGTCAGTCTCATAAAATCAACTTGAAAAAGTGACCACTGATATTACATTTATTTTGATTTTTATCTTGATGTGAGACTTGACTCTTTTTTTTTTTTTCCGATGCATTTCTCACACAAGTACTATTGATATAAAAAAAATTAAATCCCACATTAACAAAAAATAATAATTAAAGAGAAACCTTCACTCTGTTGTATAGTTTCTAGACTAATTAAATTCAAAACCCTATTATTCATACACCATGCTTAAGAGTATATATTGGCGTGAGAAGGTGTATAAAAACAACTTAATAGTTTTGCTAGTATATAAATAAAAGTTCAAAAAAGTGATAATCTTTAACTTTTAACATACTCTTTCTATTAATTAAAACATTAAAACCCACATAAATTTATAATTTTTATTATATTTTAAAAATAAAACTAATAAAAAATATACCAGTACTATTTCTCAATATACAATTTGGACTCTAGCTGGGAGTCCTACACACCACTGTGCATTCTCATTAAGACTGTAGGGTGGAAGGGTGGGGTACCCTTACCTTCTTTAACTCATAATTTTCTTTTTATGAAGACATCTTTTTTCTTTTGTAATCTTTAGAGATCACTTTAGTTTAGAATTACAAGTATTCTTAATGAAAAAGAATTGCATTCGAGTGGAAAATATTTACTGTGATGGAGGTAGTTCTTAGTGAGAACTTAGTTTTCTTCTGTAGACAAGACTTGAATCTAATAATATTTTTGTTCTTTTATACACAATTAACTTCCTTCAATATGTTATAGTCACTATTTTAAATCAAATAAACAATAGTATACTAATGTATCTTTCTCCCCAAACCCAGAACATTCTCAATCAAAGCCAATTTGTGAGCAAAAAGTTTTTCACATGGCACCAAGACATAGTTGTTGTTCTTATACATCAAATTGTGTATTTTGCTTTTAATTTTCATTTGGTAGCAACTTTATCCATCACCACAATTGAATGATTTAGGTTTAACTTATTAAAATATATATAGTTTATAACTTGCCTTAATTTTAAGTGGGTTGTGTACCCTTATCCCTAAATCTTGTGTTAATAAAAAGTAATATACATCACTTAAAATAAAGTATACCAACACTACAAACCGTAATGATTTCAGGCTTATTGCGCTAACATCTTTCTGATTAATTTGTATTCTTTTAAAAAGGTTTTGATTAATTGCATTCTCAACAGTGATGATTGGATAAAATTAAGAATTTTATGTATGATTGGCACTTTTATTTCCAACTGAACAACACCATTGATGGCTCTTTTGGAGCACTAATTCAATCAGAAAGGGAGGGACCCTAAACAGTGAAGGTACCCTCGCTCCTATAACATCACAATAAAGATACCAAATTGGAGTTTGTCATTATGAAAAATCTCATAGAGCCTCAGCTTTTGAAAAAACCCTACCCTATCACATGCTTTACTATTTCCTCATGCTTAAAGAATAAAGTCACAATCACACCAAAACATTACAAATACATTATATCAAAACTTATTGCTCTAGGTTTTGGATTTCAAATTTTATAAATGAAAAAATATTCTGACAATAAGAGTCTTTATATAAGTGCTACAAATGATTTGTCACTGTAATTTTCGAACCTTCCAAATGATCAACTTTAGATGGAATTCACAAAATAGTGAAGTTATTCAACAAATACTTTTCTATAATTAAATAAGTATAAGTAGAATAACATGATAATTAATATCACCATGATTATATTATAAAATTAAGTTTTACATGAATAATTGAATTATGTAGTATAATTCACATATTAAAAGTTATCAATAATTATTTCAAAAATAATATCTTAGATAACTTTTGTTTGGTTTACAATATCAATAGTATCAAAATTAAATTCCAAAGTATTTTTTTTATATTTTAAAATATAGTTATAAGGTTTAACATATGCTAAAAATATTATTTTATTATTATTTTTTAATTAAGTATTAAGAGATTTCATTATTTTTTAGAAGAAGATAAAACATATTATATTATTATTTTAATTTAAATAATTATGATTCAGATATTATTAATATTTAATATTTTATTATTTTATACAAGAATATATAAATAAAATATATATCTTACGAAATATATTTTGATATATAAGAAATACACGAAATCTGTGATATATGTGGAGATTGAATTCTATGATGTGTAAATGATACTCTAATTTCTAAAACTAAATCAATTATTACTTTTATTAATGTCTAGAAAAGTATGTATGATATACTTTTACATCACATATAGCTTGCACTCACTTTAGTCACATGAAAGGAATTTAGTGTACAACTTTTTAAAATAGTACATACACATACTTCTTAACATTCTGCAATTATAGATATAGATTTTTTTTTGTACAACTCTAAACTATAATTGCATCATTATTTGTTGATTGATGGTGCAAAATGTGTATTAAATTGAATTTTAGAATGTTTGACGTGGAAAATGTGGTCCATTATTAATATGGGGCACACAGAAATGAATTATGAGGAAGAGATATGTATGAAGGATGATTCAGGTATGATAGAGAAACTTTAGATAATTAAAAAAGGAAGACACTCAAGTGGTTTTGGTAAAGAAAATATTAAAATGGAGGATGATATCTTAATGAAACGCAGAAAATCAAAGGCATGATGGTGTTCTAAGATGGGAAGACAGGACCCACTTACGCCGTTCAATCATGCAAACTTTAAGGTCAAAGCAATGATAAAGAATGTTGAACAAATAAAATGGAACCAGAAAGTGTCAATGTCTTGTAGTGGATTCTTATTTTTGGTTTCATTGGGTTCCTACATCTATTACTGTGCATGCCCCCAACCTCATGGATTAAAACCATCACAACACTAATAATGGGATTTTAAATTATGATTATGGTTTCCTTGTGATAGTTGATATGGTAAGAAATTGCAGATAAATAGGATAACATGGTCATAACCGATATATATATTCTAAGTAGCATATCATCTCAACTATAAGGGAAAAAGAAAAAACCCTTTGGTCATATTAAGGGAAAAAGTATATTCAAATTTGATAAATCAGTTTGTCCATTATGGGTCTGTGTTTACTGAATATTTTGATCATGCTTTTGGAAGAGACATTATGTGGGTTGATCACTCTGTTGCAGACTATACATTAGCATAAAAATCCTCAGAATATATGAACAATTATGTACACTGCAATCTTTGTATTGTTCCATATACCATTATAAACTGTTCAAAACACATGGATTGAGAGGGGATTTATTCAGCAGCATGAGAGCTATAGTTTCAGAAAATTGGTCTCCTAAAATCAGAAAATCAAATTACATCCACCTTCAATTTTAGGAAATTCGGATCACAGTACACTTTAAATCATACAAAATGCATATTTTAAGACAAGTTCAGTTTTGTAGAGCCATGCCTGCATTTTTATATGGCTCATATCTGGTTGTGTCTTATTAAGACATGGCCAAGTATGTGCAATATGGACAAACTTCATCTTTAAGTCCATCATATAACTGTTCTATTGTTTATTTCAACCAAACCACCCCTCAAAAATATGAATTCGTTGATGCTATAAAAAGATGTTGCTCATAATTGTAAACCATGAACTCAACATCTTCAGTTCATGGATCAAACAGCTAGACATAATAATAATCCAAACCCTCCTTTATTCCCTGACAGACATCGATTCAGTGAAAGTCCTGCCAATTGGATGAATAAAAGTATAAAACCATTGGATTCTCCAATTCAAGATCAAACCAGTGTCTATGTACTAGAAGGCTTTTATGCTTTTATTCATGTCATGTATGATTTGTTAATTTGATCATAATTGTCCTAAAAGTAGTGCCTATCATGAATTTGTATTTGTTATTAATGGTGAATTAAAATAAAATGCTTTGAAGAAAAAAAAAAATGAAAACAAGTGGCTTAAGAAATGGTTGACAAAAGGTGTTTGAAAACAGAAGAAAAACAAACACATTCTATAATGAAAATTAGCAGTTACACAAAGGCTATGACTTGCATTTTACAACTTGTAGATGATTTTACAAGAAACCCCCCCACTATCCAAAGTCAGTCAATCCATGAAGTAGTTAACTTGAACATTCTTGGGCAAACATGAACCCATGAATCCACTATCCCATTTCCTATCACCTTTACCACCCCAACAAAGTGTAAAAACTATACCCCCCTCCTCCCCACCAAAGTTAACTGTCTGTAAACTGCTTTGAAAAATGTCTTTCAGCCATTTCTCAAACATGCTGTTAGTAAAATTTGCACACCCCACACCAATTTCCTCTATCACCCTCTCCTCTACAGTAAACTTCACCACACATTCTTTGCCATAAACCTCCTCAAAAGATTCTTTCATCTTCGACAGAAACATCTCTCCCACCTCCCTCTCCCTCTCTGGACTTTCATTTAACTCAAACCTGTTCTCAATTGAGTCAAGAGTCCCATTCCAGCCCAATGGATCTGCCATAGTTTCCCTGGTCAAATCACTTGAAATTGGACTGTTTCCACCTGTTTTCTCTTCCGCATCATCCTCTTCATCAGCTTTCATGTTCAGGTCAAGATTGTTGAAGCTTGAATGCCTTGAAAACACCTTGCTACCCTCCTCCTTCTTATCCACCCTTGGATTCTTAACCTTGGAAAACAAATCCAGAACTTCAGCCCTTCTCTTCTGACCCAAACAAGGTGATGAAGACTCCAAAGCAGGCTTGGTTTCACTTATCTGCAACACCAACTTCATCACTGACTCCTTATTGTTCTGTTCTTCATTGTTCTTAGTGTCACCATTGGTCAATACGAGTATTGCTTGACCTGAACTCTCGTCAGTCCTACTTAAACCTCCAAAGTTTCCAGTTTCAAACCCATCTGCAAGAAACTTCCTGAACTGGGCATCGGCAAAATCCAAATTTTCTATCAGAATCACAAGCTTCACATGGGTTTTCAATGCTCCAGCCACCATTTCAGAAAATGGGGTCGCTGAATATTTCAGCATGTCCAAGTGAAGGAGCGCATCAACTGAGCCAAACACTGATTCCGCAATCGCGCGTGCCAACCTTGTTTTCCCTATAGAGTCAGTTCCTTGCAACAACAACCAAGTAGTAGCACTTTGCTTTGCAGATTTGGAATCAACCAAGGCCTCGGCAATGGAAGGAACTGTCTCAGATTGCCATGGCACATTCTCCTGCAACAGTTTAGAAATATGAGCTCGTCGCAGTGTTCTATCAGTAGTTATGATATTTTCCACCGTTTGCCCTGAACCACCGAATGTTGAATTTCCAAGAGCAAGAGTAACCTTTACTTCATTATTATTACCTTCCATGCCCTTGAGAGAATCCAAGACTGTGGATGGCTTTTTCTGAGTCACATCACTGAAATTGAACTCAATGGTGCATGACTGTTGGCGCCGAAACCGAGGGACAATGTTGGAGCTAAAAGCGGGTTTTGCAGGTGAATCAGCAAAAGATATTGAGCTTGAATCTGTGAAGACACTGCCTTGGTTCGGCCACCAGGGGTATGATGAATTGTAAGGATAGATCTTCCCGTTTGAACTCTGATTGCCATGTAAAGTGTTGCTCCAATGGTTCTCAGACTGTTTGCTCTGGTGCAGACAGTAGCATAGCCTGTTCCATTTCCTTTTCAACTGAAGCAACTCATCCTGAAAACATTGAATTTTTTCATAAGCCACTATCTCAAGCCACCAAAACAAGAATAAGTCGCACAATTTCATTGAATCACAATCTCTCATATAATAATTTTGTTCATAAACTTCATATTAAGTAAGAGTCTGAATGATTATTTCTGATGTTCAAGAAAAAACTTATATAGCATACTTCTACTTATTTATTTCTTTAGAAAGAACGCATTGGTAAAAATATGTAATTTGTTATCATAGTGTACGAAGAATAGATTAGTAAGTTCAATATGAATAAGTATTAATTAATTAATGGATTTGTTATAAATATGACTAAGATTAGAACACAGAAGTCATCGAATATTTTGAAAAGTGAGCATTTTTATTTTACTTTAAGCATTTATGGATTATGCATTAATGTATTCAACTTATTCTCTTTTAGTCCAGAGGAGGAAAAAAAGTAAAAATTTTGCTACCTTTTGATGAGCTTCGGTGGTATGAGACTGAAGCCAGGAAGGCAACAGTTTCTTCTGGCCTGGTTTGAACAACAGAGCTTCTTTTTCATAATTGGAGGCACATTCCTCACAGCAGTTTAGTTTATCCTGCTCCTCCTTGCTGTTACTGAAGAGCTTTGTTTCCAGCATATGAGATGGGTTCTGGGAGATTGTCATCTTTGAATCGTGAACACTGAATTCAAAAATTTAGTGCAGAAGATTCAATTAACATTCAACAAAAGTAACCAAGTAGACACTTCTGGGATTGGAATATAGTCTGCATCAGAAGCTAGTTTGTGTACTTTTTAATATTCTGTAACATTTTTTATCACGTTCTTGGTACCTTCCAAAAGGTTACTGTAAATTATGTTTGAGAAACTGAAATGTTTGCAATCAGTAATATATATAACCCTTTCTTTCTTCTTTCGTTTCCTGTTGGTAAAGTATATATGGTTCCTTCTACACAACATCATGTGAATCCGAAATGTCTAAGAGGTTCTATATATACTGACAAAACAAAGTGAAGCAGAAAGGCACTGCTTCACGTCTACCTTACCAACCAACCATGCTTTTGACAGTGGCCTCTGGCATAGTCCAGAGACCGTACGTACTTAGCATACAAATGCAAAATCAATTAAACTCTCAAGTTAAAGAATGATCATCATTGAATAACTTATAATTGTGTGCTCATTTTTCCTCTATTTTTTTCCTTAACTTTCTTATTGGCTAGCTTGTAGTTTGCAAAAAAAAATATTAATTACAGTTTTTGGTATTACATTGATGAAAGTGATTAAGCAAGAGATAATTACCTGGAAGCATGGAGACTCAAGCCAAGTCCACCTGATGGAACAGGAACAGCTTGAAGAGCCCACTGAGTCTCAAGAGAGGGTTGCCTCATTTGGCACCTCATGTATGTTTGATAACTTGCTGTGGCCACAAGCCACACCTTAGTGTTGGAATCACAAAATAACTTCCCTATTTCCGCAAGTAGATGATCAACTGGGTTATAGCCACAAACTTCTCCTTCACCCTTTTCACTAGAAGTTCTTGCTTCCACTGTCCACTTGAGGTCTCCAACATAGAAAATGGCTCCTCCTCCTGATTCAGCAGAATCCACCTTCCTCTTCAGTGCTGAGAGACTCATCTCCACTTCATCCCTTTTCATGAACCTCAGAGAAACTGGTGCAAGCTGAAACTTGATGAAATGTGTTGACTTCAACTCATCAGGCACATCTCCTCTTTCCAACTTCCCCATTAGCTCTCCCACAAGGCCTTCAGTGAGTGCCACTGAGTCACCAACTATCACAGTGTTCCTCTTCTTCTTTCTCAAGAGGACATCAAGAACCACCTTGATATCCTCCCTGGAAGAGGGCGGTGGTGACTCAGTGATGGGAAACACCGAGGCCTTCTTCTGTGGAGAGAACAGAAGTGGAGTACTGAACTCAGGAGAAGTGTAAGCAGCCAAGAAATGGTTCTGCCTGAAGGCACTAGCAGTGTTGTTCTCACTGGGAGCAGGAGAACAAGGAGAAGAGAAAACACCACCAGAACTGTTGTAACACTGGAAAACAGAAGGTGTTGAAGAAGTGTCCTCTATGTTGCTCTTAACAGCAGTGCTAGAGAAACCAGCTTCTCTCATAACCCTGCTAACACTAGGGTCATCAAGGATAGATATAATGAGCTGTTCAAGCTCCACCTTGATGGTGAGAAGTGGCTGCTGCTGCTGCTGCTCAATGCAGCCTCTTCTCTGGTGAGCCTGTGCTCTCTTGAGTGCAGCAATGAGAGCATTGGAGAGAGAAGGCTGTGTGTGGAGCAAGGGGCCAGGTGTTGTTGGGAGCCTGTTGAGGGCCACATTGAAGCAAAGTTCAAGGGCTCTGCACTGAAGAGGGTGTGATGTTTGGTGTGGCTGAGACTTGAGACAAGCCCTTCTCAAAGAACTGGCTCTTAGGCTCAGCAAAGTTGCAGCCACATGCAGAGGGGTGACCTGTGCATGGCCCCTTCTGCGTGCCAACCCAAGAGAGTGCTTCAACACTGAAGCAGCCTCCGCTGTGAGGGTCTGTTGCAATGTACAAGCTCCTGAGCGCATCACTTGAATAAAACCCCTCCCCCCACACCACCCCCTTTGTGTGAAACCTTTTCTTCAGAACCACACTGCTTCCCTTTCTCTTATCTTTCTATTCCTCTCCGAACACCACCACCACCCAACCCTTTCAGTTTTGGCCTGACAAACCTAGCTCGTGCTAGTCCTCTTGTGATTAGAGGAACCTGGAACTAACTCAAAGCTAGTTCTGAAAAATGAGAAGAAACGTAAAACGAAATAATGAGAATGTATGGGAGAAAGAGAGAAAGCTTAGAGCAACTAGTTAAGATTTAGAAACACCAGACTAGGCCTCATTGCTTCTTTATAGTAGTATACTTCTTGTCACTCACTATTTATATTATATATATTTTTTCTTTTTTCTTTTCCTTTTGCTTAATTCTCGTTTGGTATTAGCTTAAAGCAGCAGCTTTTCTTATCTTTTTATTTCCACTTCATTCCTCTTTCTCTCTCCAGTTTACAGTTATAGGTGCACTCCATACTAATCTTAATTAAATGTGTTATTGATGTAACGAGAGGTGTTATGTGATTTCTAGTTCATCACAATTATTTATTTTGTTCTTCGTAATTGGAATGTGGTTTTGTAACAGTACATGGCGTCACTCTTTTGGACCTTATAAAACTACCATAAGTCCAATGCACATATATATTGTTGCTGAATTTCAGCTGCATCAGTCATGTATATAAAAGGGTGAAAAGCTGTGGAGTGCAGTCATATGCAATAGCTGCAACAGCAATATGCATGCATGCTGATCATATTACAAAAGGGTAGAGAAACTATTTGATTCCATTGAAAAAAATTAGATGATAGTAGTAGTATACTTAAAACTAAATCATGTTCTTTCTTGTGCAATGTGTAATTTTTGAGCAAATGAGGTTGCGTGAAAAACTATGGAGTACAACATAACAAGGGGGACCCACAATTCAAAATTCTTACTTGGAGTCACAAAGCTTTCCTCCTTCCACATCATCCTTTGAATAGCCAGACAACCCAGCAGAAATTCAAAAAAAGTACTAAAGGAGAAAGATTGGAAGGTGAAAAGAGAAAAAAAAAACTGATAAAAGAAAGTGATATATATATATATATATATATCACATTAATCATTTTATTTTCTGGTATCCTCTACCTAGTTTGTTATACAAATATAATGTTTCATTACATAGAAGTATATTTCACTTATTATTTAAACTTTTTTCTGTCATTTAAATATGAATATGTAAAGTTGGAATTTGATTGAGCATGTTGTGAAAAGAGATAGTAGTAAAATAAAAGGAGCACTCTCTCTCTTCACGCCAATCCTCGTAGAGAGACAGCATTTTATTCCCCAAGTACCCGAAAAGCAACTCTCTGTCTGCTATCCTTCACAGCATTATTGGATCTTTTTCAGTCTCTCTCCTCTCTCTCCCTGCAAATTTCAATCACCTTTTTCTATTAATCTCATCTAATTTCCAACAACCCACTTAAAAAACCTTTTGTGTTACCAAAAAAAGGAAGCAGAACTGAAATATACTGTTATTATGCATACTCATTTGTGTTCCCATTTCGTTTATACAAACACTGAGGCCTCATTTGTTTTTTCTTGCAAGCCAGAAAACATTTCTGTAAGAGTTTTATTATCAACTTTCAGCAATATATATAACTTTTTTGACTACTTTCATAACATGTTTTTACCCTTTAACATTACTTCAACATATATATATATATATATATATATATATATATATATATCATTTACTGTTTCTTTAAGTATATATTATCTTCATCTCTTGCTTTTCTTCATTCTTTCTCTTTGGGGCGTGAGAAAGAATATTTATTTTATCCTCAATATAACAGATTCTCGTCGAGATGCATGAAAGGTAGCTAGGATCTCTTGAGATCTTGAGATAGTACAAAGCATGTATATAATTATACTTAAGTTTCACATTTAATATATAGCCTTATAAGTTCTAATTTTATGTATGCAGATAAATTTTATGCAACTAACTTCAGTAATTAGAATGATTAAATCAAATTGTAAAAACTAATGACAGAGATAGAGTCTAGTCAATGACATGATTCCTATAATTGATCAGTTTCTCAATTTTGAGGACAGAATCTAAGATTGATTCACAAACATATTATTTCCTGAATTGTATTAACCTTTTTTATTTGTACCCATTTACTCTTAATATGAACTTTTACCTCGCAAAATAGTAATTAGCAAGAACGATTAAACAGTCCTTTGACCATCTGAATAATAAGGAAACATATGGGTCCTCACGTAGTCACATTAATCTGACCTTGCAAGATTCGAAGCATGATGAGAAATTAATCATTATACACCTTTACTTTTAAATTTTAGCATTTTTATAAGAGAAAATGGGAAGAGATAAAAATTAATGCCTATGGAGAGCTTGATTTTGGAAGTATATATTTATAGCGTGGGTTCCAACAAGGGTAGGATCTGTTTAAGAGTTTAAGGTATATTTGGAGAATTAAAAGCAACAAAAAGAGAGAAAAATATAGAATAAAAAGCAAATGTTCTCATTATGCAACTTTCTTATTCTCCAGTGCATTAAAAGAGCCAAAAGAATCTGCTACTTAATTAATGCCCTATATGTAACGAAGGAAGTGCTTAGTTGAAAGGGTGTGGAAAGAACACTCAAATTATACTAAAGCTATCAAACAAGACGTACCATAGGGATGATTGAACAGAGAATATTAACTCTAAAAAAAATATTATATATCAGAAGAAATATATGCACTCAGCAGTTCCTGTGACGTTTAAACTTTTGAGATGAAGTAAAATTTAATCAGTCCCTCTTTTGCAGTCAAATTCACTGATACAGCATCTGATATATTACTTTCTAAAAAGCTTATTTATCGAATAGATCATCTAATTAACATGCCCTTTTGAGTTTAATGCCTCTTGTCGTTTTTACACTTCTCTCATGATTGAATACTGCATATATATGATCAGATAGTTTACTGTGAAAAGATAAAAAGCTAAAACAAATGAGCTCTATCATAAGATGTGATCAGGTGGGGGCATGTATGTTTGTTCTTTGAGCACTCTTTTTATCCTTTTTGTATAATTCAAAATGGAGCACCCTAAGTAGATATATAATCAGAGGCTGGCTCATTTTGGGGTCATCAATGCCACCAACCCTTCAAAAAGGATGTGGTTTTGATTGGAGGGGGGTGCCCAAATCATTGGAACATTATATTTGAAAGTTTGAAAAGTAGTGAAGACAATAGGATTTCTCTACTTAGAAGAAAAGGATCCCTTTATGCATGCATTAATTGTTTGTGAAATGTGCAGTTTTTTTTTTCTTTGTGATCTCTAATGAATCCTGCTACATCTATGGACTCGATCAAATACTTTGGTTAGCATATTCCCTAACAAATTTTCAACAAAGAAGGAAAGTGAAAATTTTGAGGCTTCATTAACTGAGACAGATCAGGCCCACTTACGTAACAAAACATGTTTTACTTCAACAGATGTGCAAGACAAATTTGATGTGATTCAACATTTCATTAGAAACTTGGATTAAAAAACAAAAATTTCCCAACTTACAAGCTCACAACTTCAATATTGTGTGAAAAAAAAGGGGACCACTGAAGAAAAAAAAAATAAAGTAGCATATGAAGACATTTAGCATAGACGGCTCCACCAATGGTTTTGTATACCCCAGCACTTACTTACAGCTGGTGGGAACTCTTATCTTAAAGTATGATTAGAAAAAACAAACAAAAAACAAATTAAAAGACATGTTTAAATAAAAATCAATTTGTGTCAACAAAAGTGTCCAATATTCACCTTAAAAGTAAAGTGAAAAGTTGTAACTAATAATTACAAAAATTAACTGTTAAACTATGATTAAATGCATGCATTTATATGGTAAATTATGAATTTGTTTTGACAGCAGTTGATCTTGATATCAAGGAACTGTTGACTACTTTACTCTTTAAAGTGAAAGATTCATCAAGGAACTTAAAAATCAAAACTGTGACATTTTGATGGCCAAAAAGTCGAGTTAGTAGTGAATATAGTATATATTGATTAAGAGTATCCTAGCATTATAATCAATATTGATGACTTCATTCTTTATTATCAGATAAACAGATCAGTATAACCTTTATGATGCATTAGTCAAAAGAACAAAATGAAAGATTAACTAGCTCAAATATCAAGAACAGATAGAATTAGTAAGCATTATTTGATTTCTTATATTAATATGATCCTTTATTTTTATCTATTTATACGAATCCAAATATAAAGACTGAGTATAATTGTGAACAAAACACCCTTTTATTAAAGTATCAGCAGTCTAAATTTTGAAGAAAATAATCTTTGAAAAGTTTGCTGGTATCTTGCAATGCTTATGAAAATGTTCAGTCAAAGATTTTTTTCTTCTTGAAATATGTTATACTATCCATTGTTTCTAGGCTATTGAACTCCATCAACTAAAGTATCATTATACTGTATCTTCATGGCATGAGAATGAGATTAGTACTGTAATTATGGTAATAAATTTAACTCAAAAGGAATAAGACACGTTAATTAGATGAAGTTTCTTTTTCATTTCATCTTGTGAATGACACAAGGTATCAGATACAGCCGCAATGGCACCCTATGTGGGGTGATGATCAAGGAATCTTCCTTGATTAACATAAAAAGAATTTGTCAAGAGTGGTCACATGATCACATTATGGTGATATAAAGGGGATTCATATGCACAAGAATATGTATATATGAACAAGTGTGATTAAGAGAAAAATAAGAAAATAAAAAATAAATTCGTTTAATTAACAAGATGCATGTAAAAGAAAAAAGTATCTTTTTGAATTATTACATCAAGAGCTCTTATGAAACATTATTGTAAGAATAAAATTTAGACACAATGTCATTATAATATTATTAAATATAAAAATTTGCATTTTTTTTAGCAATTATTATATATTTTGATTATTTGGAATAAAGAAACAGTAATGAAGATAAAATGTCAATTTTTATTTTAAAAAACCGCATATAACATTTATGTGATGTCGTATATAAGTTTTTGTCATTTAATTATTTTCAAAAAAATAGAATAAAAAATTCAATCGATATCATAGTCCTATCATACTAATAAATTCTTAAACTCACGTGAATATAAAGTCGGCTCATTTAAATGCTCTAATTTTAATTAATAGTTGAATTTTTTGTTAATGATTTTTTTAGGAGGCACAGTTTAATATACTATTAAATGTTTTTCATCAATTACTACAGCTCTATTTGTATATATAATGTTCTATTAATTTTTAATAATTTCCAATATTATTGATTGATTTAGTTCATATCATTAAAATTGTTAAAAGCATATTATTATTATTTTCAAATTTATCCTTAAAATTAACATATAGACTTGAATGTTATTCTTTGGATAAACTGGTTAGAGATGAAAATTATACTAAAATGTTATCACAAAAAGAAAATCCATGATATAGGGATGGGAATTATATACGTTAAAAATGTCTGAATCAAAATAGGAATATTGACCCACAATATTTTTATGAAAATACATACGTGTGTACAGCACTATCTTACTACCCAATCCATGTTCCTAAATTATACAATAGATTAAATTTCAAGTAAAAAGAATATTACAAAAATCATTATATGTAACTAATATTTTGTCATTTTAAATAATAAAAAAAACATAATAATAAAAAGATAGAATGCAAAAAAAGTTAGGTTTGATGGATCCATTTGTCAATTTTTTTAAAATAAGCAACATGATGATAGTTGTTTCGATAACCTATTTTAAAAAAATATATATTACAATAAAAATAAAAAGTATATAATTAAAAATATTACAATTTTTTTATGTTATATTATAAAAATATGTAAATATAATATTATAATTTAAATTATAAATATTAATTAATTAAATTTAAATTATTGATTATAATGAGTTATTTAAATATATAAATATAATAATTTTTAAAATTTATATCATAAAAATATTAATCAATCAAGAAAAAACTTAAAAATTATATAATTAAAAGTATATAAAATAAATATTGACGGACTATAACATCTTACGGATTATAATGGGTTAGTGTTTCCTATCCCAATTTTAACAACCTAAAAATAAGAGAGACTAACTCATTTCATCATCTTATACTTATGTTATCTTAATTTTCCAATCATATCTAACTATTTAAAGATTTATATATATATATATATATATATATATATATATTTATTTATTTATCATGGTTAATGCAAAGCACATAATTAAATTATATTTTGTTATTCGTAAGTTTGTTTTGAATTTAAATTTATCTAAAATATTTTATTTGTTTTATATAAAAATGAGAGGTGGTAGATCCATAATTTTAAATGGGGGCTTGTGTGATGAGTGATCATGTAGCAAAAAGATTGGCACAGTGAAAAAATGAATTTGAAGAAAGTGGATATTCCAAAATTCATCATTTCAATGTAACCCACAAGTTTGATTCTCACGTTGAGATCTCCATTAGTATTCTCCAGACTCACCAATTTCCCAGTCACCCCTGACTCAAAAAGTTGGAATGTTTAGAGAGAAAGATTTTTGGGGAGGTGAAAAGAAGACTAGCATGCCACTTTATACAATAAATGTATTTTCAGAACTCTCTCTCTCTCTCTCTCATATCATTCCAAACCCTTGGGGAATGTGCCTTCTAAACCTACCCCCACTTATTAATTAAGCTATCCATCAAGATTAAATTCATGGTTAAATAATTAAGTACAATTTTTTAGAAAAATAGTATTTAATATGATCACCAATGCTTTATTCCTTTTAAGCCATGAATATAGGATAATGGTTATTAGATTGGATATGCTTCTGTGTTTCCATAACTGATTTAGAATTTGGAGAAACCAGATTAGTAGATATACATAACAATGGTCAAAGAAAGACGGAAATTTAGAAAAGTGGGATTCAATTTTTGATGTTCCAAAAAGAGAAGCGATCATACCCAGAAAAAGGGATATGATCCTTCCACCAAGGAAAAAGAAAAGCTTCTCATAATTTTCTTTTTGCTTAGTTCATCTGAGAAAAAGGAAATAAGAAATAGGTTAATTAACAACTTCTAACCTTATCCTTCATCATTAGATTTTTATTCTACATTTTTCAAGATCGTGATGTGCTTCTAGTGTTGCAAGGCTACAACTTAGTGGGTTAGGTTTCCAATTCAAACTAGTTATAATCGGCTCCAAAATTCAAGTCAACATTGTGTTTTTAGGTTTTGCTTGTTGGAACATAAAATTGAAAGTAAAATGTATTTGGATAAAAAGGGATTGAAATAAATTTTAAATGACTAACGAAACTATTTTAACTCACATTTCAAAACTGAAAAAAATAATAATATAAAAATTAGGTTTAAGTTACTAGAACTTGTTATTTCCAACCTCAAAATTGAAAATAGAGTACACATTGTAAACGACGAAGGTATAATTTCAATTAAAATATGCAAGTTCAAAATTACTTTTTGATGGAATTACTCAAATCTTTTAAGTAGGAGGAAGAGAACAAACTTTGTTTGAAGGCACAAAATTATGTAATTAATGATACTAAATATGGAATTGAACAAATTTTAAATCTAAAATACGAGTTTTTTTTTTTTAGATTTGATGAGAAACAAGTATATTACAAATGAAAAAGAGAAAACAAAATCATAGAAAAGTGAAATGCATGTTTTATTTAAAATAAATTATTGAAAGAAGAACGTAGGTGTACATGAAAAACCGTTTTAAGAAAAATATATGAAAGGTTCACATTATTACCAACCATAAAACTTATAGAAAACATAACAAGCTAAAATAAATGACAAATGAATTAGAGGAGAAAGCTCAAATTGAAAGTATAGGTGGTTCTATAAAAAAATTATATAATAATTATGAGTAAAATAAGAAGAAAACAACAAGTTCAAAATAAGAAAATGTATATTTTAAACTTGAAATTCAAATTAAATGTAGACAAATATATATTAAGAATGTGGAAACTACATGCTTAACCATTTGTAACTTAATAAAAGTAGATTATTTATGTTTGATGAATTTGTATTATGTCTCAAGCGTTTAGGATATTTTTTAGGCAAAGATAATCATTTTTTTATCATTTAATTTGATGTATTTATGTTTTAATTGCTCTTAGGTCATAATATCTAAGGACATTATGTTGTTTCAAGTTAAAAAATTTCAGTTTACAAATTTTACCGTCAAAATATTTGACTGACATTACTAATATTTGTAATATGTAGCCTTAAAAAAAATTATGTTGGGAAAGATAAATATTAAAGCATTTAAAATATTAATATGTTAGAGTAATTGTAAATTCTGCAAAATTAAGTTAAGTACTCACATTAACAATCTTTACATTGAAGTGATTTTTTCCTAAAACTTTGAAAACTTTTTAGTACTATTAAAAATTCACAAAATTAAAATAAACAAATTATTTGAAAAAAAAATCTTCTTAAAATAGAATAAGTTTTTTTTTTCAATGATTAGAAGGAGGCCCCACTTACATTATATATAGAAAAAAAAAGAAGGTTTTCTATCACGTGTCTCTTAAGTATATCATTAGTGAAATATTTTTTTTATGAAAAGTAAGAATTTTTTTTATACAAAAATACATATATCATTAGTGAATAATTTTAAGAAATTTAAAACATTTAGTATAATATATTTAATGTGTGTTATATGATTTTTGGTATTTAATAAAAAAATCGACAATTATAAGTTATTGCTTTAAGTATATATTAATAACAATCTATGACGGAAAAGTGTTACCATTTGAAACATATCGATGGGTTAATTAACATAACATAACATAACATCATCCAAGTTATGTTAAAACTAATGTTGCCTAATAACATGAATTTCGATAAATATTACATGTTTGATCTCACAATAAAAAAAAAAAACATATATATATATATATATATATATATATATATATATAATCTAAAGGATTAAATAGCTTAAAATAATTTGATAAAATATAAATATTCTGACAAAAAAATATAATAAAAATTAACTATTAAGTTATTTTTAAATTAAAAAACAGTTAAGCAGAAATCAGTTCACCTCAAACACAAATAGAAAAAAAGTTTGAGACCACATAGAGTTTGAATGATGTTGTCTCTCTGTATATCTTTGTGGGTGTTGGCTGGTCCATTTTGAAGTGTCAGTATGTTTAAAGATGAGGTATAGTGAGTGAAAGAGACATGGCCTATGCATTATGAAGATGGAATGATGAATAGTGAAGAAACAGAGGAAGATATGTGGATGGTGATGAGGAAACAGAGACAAATGTAGGAGATAGAAATGGCCAAAGTGTGGGTCCCTTCTCCTAAAGGTCCTTAAGTTAGGGTTTATGCATCTTACTGGTATTCTACCAATGACTATACATGCAATATGTGACCACCTTCTCAGAACAAAAAGACACCTCACAAATGATGCACTTATAAACCTTTTCTTTTACCAGTTAGGTACAGACAAAATGCTTTGTCTCTAAATACAACACTTTAATTTCTACATCTATGTTCACCCTCCTCATAGAATATTCCATTCCATCTCACTGCTAATTAAAAAAAAAAAAACTAATTAAAGTAAAAATATATGTCATATTTTTTGTTCATCTTGCATTTCTTGTCTAATTGATTAAATTATATTTATATAAATATCATGTTGCTTAAGAATCAAGATTAATCATAATTTATATATTATTTTCTATTATAATCTTAACATAAAATCGTGATATTCAAAATAATAATATTTTTCAGATATAAAAATTAAATATGAGTACCGAACACATAAAATTTAAACATGAATACCGAATATATAGACATTTTCTAAAAGAAAAAAAATTTCATAATCATATTTTTTTTTAATTATTACTCCCATAGATAGAAGAGGAGATTTAAAAATAAATAAATAACTTCTTCTAAGTAGATTCATATATATTAAAATAATATTTTTTTTATTCATGGAAACTTTTCTAAAATGAAAATATTCTTCTAAGTTATAATAATAGGTTGTTGAATTGAAAATTGTATAATATAATTAACATATTATATATTATACCTCTAAGACATAAAATGTTTCTTAATAGAAAATGTGAATCCCTTAAATAAATCTAAATATTTTTAAAAATTACTCTATAACTTTTAATTAAGGAATAGCTAAGTCCATCAAACATAAATTATAACTACTTATAATTATTGCCATATTTAAAAAACAACTTTTTAAAAGAAATAATTATTTCAATATTATTCAAAATAAGCTATATTAATTAATTAAAGATGAATAAAATAAGTTAATCATTTTATTAAGTTAATCATTTTGATCGATAATCAGTTAGGTCATTTTCGTACAAAGATCACAATTTTTACTCTAAAAATTGAAGTTAGTTTGACGAGTGAGGATACAAATTTTTAAGAGGATCAAATTTTGTTATTTTCTCGGAGTATAAAACACAAATTTTTTTTCTTGAGAACTAATTTTTGCATATGTTTTTTCAAAAACTCGTTAATAATTATATCAAACTGAAAGAATAAAAATATATCTAAGTCTTTAATAAATATAACTTGTTCATTTTTAAATGAATTGTGTTAACATGTAATCTTATGTTTGTAGGTATGTTTATATTTGATATTCTCGTTAGTCCGTTAACACCATTAATTCAAAAGTAAGATAATAATTATGAGAACCAAACATGTTGATCAATATTAAATATTAATAAAGTTGATATATATATATATATATATATATATATATATATATATATAATATGAACCCAATTATTTTAAAAATAATATATAATTATATTATCATTCATTTTTATTTTTCATTATTTTGTAATTTAATAATTAAAAGGAACTAGTATGTTAAATTATCATATTATGAAAAAAAAATTATGAGAATAATTTTTTTCTATATAATTATATTTCCTACATTAATTACTATAAAAAGAAATTTTTTGTATATTAATTAAAATAACAACCAATATCGAGAGTATGAATATTTTTTCTACTTCGATTAGTAGTGGTGATTCACATAAAATATTAGAAGTGTTAAATAAAATTCAATATATAAATTAAATATATATTATTATATTTATAAAGTTAATTAAAAAATCTTAGAAAAATCATAACTTCCTCATACTGTTTCTAATATCCACGAATATAGTGGCAGAGTTTTTTTAGCACAAAAGGAGAATTATGACTCTCAAGTTTTTGTAATCTATTATATATTAATAATTTTATTCCAATTTAATAGAAAATAAATATTTACTTAAATATTTATAATTTTATTTTTTATTTAAATATTTTATAACTATTAAAGTAAATTAATAATACATATTAAATAAGAAAATATTTTATATTAATATAGAAAGGTTTTACATTGATTTTATATCCGATATTAAAGAAATAATAATTTCTAATAAACAATAAAATAGTTCAGAAAAATTATCTATAATAAAATTTATTGTATATAAATGCATGGAAATATAATACGCTTAAAAAGAGTTATTTTTTCTTTATTATTATTTATATTAGTAGGTGTTATTGATCTGTATATCACATTTCTATAATGTTATTTTTTATTTATATAAAGTTTATTGTGATACGAATTTCTATTATATTAACTGCAATTTAATAATATAAAAAAATACAATAGATTAAATTGAAAAAAAAAAACAAAGGTTGCACTTAAACAGTGGTTGTTGTAGAAAAAGAGAGAGATGAATAAGAGTAAAAAGTGTGGTAAAGGAAAAAAGAGGAGAAAGCTTTTGTTACTAATTCTAAGAGACTGATTAAAGTGGTGACCATAAAGCAGAGAAAGTGAAGGAAAAAACAGAAAAGGGAAAGTTATGAAAGTATTTATCTTCCTTTCTTTCTCTTCTCATCTTTCTATTTTCCATGCAAAACCATGACAAAACCTAACCATCATTGCTGCCACTCTCTCTTTCCTCACTAATCCCCATAAAAATCTCATGCCTCTCTTCCTTTATCTTTTACACACACCCTTTTGCTAAAAATATATACAAAAATATCAAAAGTTGTCCAAAAATATGAATATCAAGAATGGAGGGTTCTAATATTCCTTCCTCAAACACACACCTTAATGCTCTATCATCATCACTTTCCTCTTTACCTATTGTCTTTTCATATAAAATTAATCCACCAAAAGCATCTATTTTTGTTAATGGGTATGTTATATATACGCATGCTTCACATCACCCATTTTTTTAATGGTGCTTGTATTATTAAAAAAAGTAAATTTTTGGTTCAATCATCTTTGTAAAAATTAACCTAGAATCTTTTCTTATTAGCCTTGTAGAATTTTCTATTTGTACCTAAACAGTTTGTATGAATATTAAATACTTTCACAACCATTTTTTCATATACAATCCCTTGATAACTTTTCTTAATTATTGTTATTATTGTATGTTGTACTTTTATTATTGTGTTATTATAAAAAAATATTATGTGGAAAAGGGTTGACATGAAATTATTATTTTAATATTTAATACATAAATATAAAATAAGTAGGGAAAGAAATAGAGAAAAGATATAATTATATAATATTGTAGAAATAATAATATATGTAGTATAATACTCTTTATATGTCCTTCACGTGCCACAGTGAGAAACTGGAGAGAGTGCAAATATAAGTGATATTAATAAAATTACAGTTGTATTACAATCATTCACACGCCAATAACTTTAAACATTGCAGCTGAAATTCTATAGTTATGATTTTTTATATTATTTTTAATCTTAAACTAGGAGTTTATATTTCTACTAAAATGGATCTCATGAAAAACAATCATGTTCTTATCATTTGGATACCGACAATGATTATGAAACAATCATGCTCTTATCGTTTGGACACCAACAACAGCAACTTTAATTGGGCTTCAGGATTAGCACTGTTTAGTCTCAACAATAGAAGAAGGTTTTGAATTCACCATTGTTACATGCCTATCAAAATACCACAAATTTTGGTTCTAATGGTGTTGTTTTAAGACTCAAGTTAAATCCCACAGAAATTAAAAAACTTATTTGAGTTTTCCTTGGTTTAAGAAATTCATATACCTTAAGAAAAACATTGGTCAATAACTCATTAATTTATAAAGATTATAAGCTAGTGAAAAAATAATTTTAAAAATATTCATTATTTTTACCTTTTATTTTCTCTTAATCCATTAACGAGTAATTTATAATTTTAACTATAAGATTAGAAAGAAAAAAAAAGAAAAAGAAAAGAAGAAGTTGAAGTAAATTGAATATATTGAAAGGAAAGAATGAAAGCAGGGTGAGGATTTGATTCTGTTGGGGTAACCCTTTTGCAACCTTTTGGTCTGACAGATGCATAAAGAAAAATGTAGCACAGAGATGGTCACAAACAAGTATGTGTCCACATATGCAGTGTGGTGATAATTGATGTCCAAAAAGCTTTCTCTGGGCTCAGTTGTGCATAACATGATTGATAGACACATTCACAGAGGGTTAGTAATTCCTTCAAGCATTGGCATATAATATAAGAGCAACACAACAAAACAAATAACTCTACCTATGCCTCTATATAAGGTACCAAAATAGGTCAGAGACTACTCAGAACAAACAAACTCTGCATGTGCCTTTACTGGGATGAAAATAGACCTTTCAAAAACAAAATTTTATATATATCCTGAGGTTGGATGCACCAGATTCTTCAGAAATAATGTGTTTGTGTTCACTCAATGCTGGTCTTGGAATAGACCAATCACTCAACTGGTTTCTTCTTCTTGCATATATATATATATAATCATATTGTGTTCAGCCAGTTTTTGAATATGCAGAACTACTACCATTGACCAACATTCTTATTTGCTATGTTTTTGTTTCTTTTTCTCATTTGCCTTTAGATTAGATCTGGAAAGCACTTTTTGGCTTGGTCATATGTTATGTTTGTGACACAGTTTGTAAATGTTCTGATACAAACAATAGGGTTTAATAAATTCATTAATTCCAGGAACATAACCTGTCACTTCTTATACTCAATATTTATTGGAGATATTGCACCCAACAAGGTTGTAAGAAGGTCTGAAAGTAGTGTTTTTGAATAACAATACTAATCAACTAGGGATAATTAAATATACTATCTTCATAATATATTATATGATAATTTGAGATATGATTATTACTGTATTTGAGAATGTGATAAGATTGATCGAGTTAACTATACTGATAGATACTTCATTAAAGTGTGTATAGCAGTGGTGATAGAAAGGGATGTTAATTCAAGTGGGCATTGATCAGCATACAATATAATATGAACATAGTTGAAACGGGAAAACCAAACATTGCGAGAACAAGTTGTGTGAGGACAAGGGGTTGTGTTAGTATGACAGGGAAACACACTCATCTAGAAATACTAAAACGTTGAAGAAGGACAGTGACAATGATTGATGAATTTTTGGAGCATAGAGACAAGAATATTAATAGGTAGACAACACAATAACTTGAGGGTCAAAGTTATGTCACAGAGGGAGTAAAAGACTTGTAACTCAAAACTATATTTTAATAATTTAATTAATACTTATAATATATAGTCACATCTTTGTGTTAATTATTTTTTCTTTATATGTGAGATATTTTAATTGTGAGTGAAGGAGGTGTATATGGAGTAGAATAATCATTAAATAATTTTACTAATAAATATCCTATCCCAAATTTATTTGTTAATATATGAATATTTACTTATATAATTTTACTCTCATTTTTATATAATTTATATATATAACCAAGGCCTGTGTATTTTCGCATAAAAAAACCTTAGTCTTCAATTCTTTAAAGAATATTTAGATTTAGTCATTGATTAACTATTTATAATAATAAATTTGTTTAAAAAAAGGATTATTTTTTTTAATTTGAATCAAATTTATTTGATTACATAAACTTTAGCCATGTTTAACTGAAAGAAATAATTAATTTGCAGAGGAAATTATCATGAATTACTTACCCTTTTATTTTCTATCTCGTTCATTTTTTTTAATCTATATTTTCATTCTCCATCACGATGGCTTGTCATGTTAATCACTTTCTCTCTTTACAATTTTCTTTTCTTTGCACTCTTCGATTTGTTTTCCCTCAGAAGTGAATACTCACTTCCAAACCATGAATTTCCTTCATCCACAAAGTACAAAGTATTTGAACATATACATTCTAAAAATACTAAGCTATATTTAATAGACGTTTTCATTATTAACAATTATGAGTGTTTTATTTTATGAGATACAAACAAATTAAAGAATTAATATATAATTTTTTTCTTTATTTAAAAATTTTAAGAAAATAGTTAAATCAAAATACATTTATATATAGTTATTATATATTAATTTAATATTGTATGATGAAATTTTGAAATCCCTAACCCTATTTGATAATAGGTCCCAGAACTTAACTATCATATAAAAGGATAATTATAGATTTAAATTCCAATAATAATTACTACTCTATAAGCAAATGAAGCCATTGATGAAAATAAAGCTTTCAGATATTATTTTAATTTTCCTTTACAATCTATTATTCAGTTGAAGCTTCACCAGCAAGGTTATAACATAGTAAACATGTTGTCACTTTATTTTAAATTTAACTGATAATATAAGTAACTTTTGAATCTCTATAAATAGAATTTTATTAATTCTTTTTTATTTTAATTATGTTAATTCTTTTAGTTATTCTCCTGTATTATCTCTATTAAATATAATGGTAATAACATCATCATGTACGTCATTAAAATTGTCCAATTGAGTGTTATATGATGTTATTAGATATTAAAAATACAAAAAATAACATATTTATATGAATTGAGATTAAAAAAATAAGTAACACATGAGTACAAATAAAAAAAAGTAATATATTTATCTTACAATAATGAATCCTAATGAAAACTATACAATAATTTAGTATATATATATTCTACATTTATCTATCTTAAACATAAATAATATTTTTATAATGATGTCTAACAAATAGTATAATTGAAAATATTTACAATATTACATTATTGTGATAGGAGGATATTCTCACAGTAAGAATTATGGAAACCTAATCAAATATCAAAAAACACATATCAATACTTTTTCTTTAGAACTTAATCCAAGTTAGGTATACTCTTTAACATTTAACAACGTTAAAATATACTTAAAGCCACTATGTTTTGATGTTCTTTAATACATTGGTGGCCATGTATATTACACACACAAAATTATACAAATCAAATTCATCTGACATGTGTATAACGTTATCACAGACGTTTTTTCAGGAAAACAAAACAATTCCGTGAGGATGTATTAGCAAACCCTGGAATTCTGAGATGGAATGTAATAAAAGACACATAACCTTATCTGCAACTCCAACGTTACAAGTATTATAGGAAATGGTGAATTCCGAAGGCTATAGTATCGTGCGTTTGGTTGATCTGAGTCCAAAAATTGTGAAAGGAAAGTGGGGCATGGAGAAGAATAAGACACGAGAAAAAGTGTGTAGAGGATGAGAATGAAATCTCTGAAAGATTCCGTTTATAATATTGAGTTGAATTGAAATATATAAATATGTGAATAGGACAGAGAGAATAAGAATATGTAAGCAATGGTACAAATGAATGTCTGGAACTATTTCAAGTGACTGAAGCAAACGCTGAAACCTGTCCCATACATCTTCCACTGTTTCGGGTGACATCGACAACAATTGAGACTTGATGTAGGTTTCAATTTGTCTCTCACTTTTATACTCTTTTTCCAACCATGTAAATCATGCATAACGTCTTAAAACCTACAACAGATACGGTTAGGTACCAAAAGTTTCAAAGAGCTTAGAGTTGAGATTAAGTTTAATAGTTATGCTTGGAATTTTTTCTAGAATTGGGATTATAAATTTGAATTTTTGCATTTAAACCTGATAGCTTATTTTTATTTTTACTTGTATTTTCATATATTTGAAATGATGCTCCTTTGGGCATGCACAACGGATGGATACACATCATAGGCATCATAATTGGTGGAACAAAAGTGATTGTTATAAGGAACTGGCCAAATTTTTTTCATCATTAGAATGAAAAGTGATCCCCGTGGAGGCATTGAAGAGTCACCCACTATCAAGAAATAAATTACATTGAATATACAAAGAAAAAAAAGGTTCAACTTTAAAGTCATCGTTTCAAAAGAATAATCATATCATTATTAATATTATATATACCATATTAAATATAAATTATCGTTATATCAAACCAAGTTTAATTTGAATATAAACTAAGCTCAGAAACTTACTTCTTAATGTTTCGCATAACAAAACATATATATTTGTGTTCCAAACAAACTCTAATATGGTAACTATCTTCTATTCTTTCAATCATCTGATAAAATTCCAGAAGCAGAAGAAAAAAAGAGAAAAACCAGTGGTGGCACAAATTCATAAAACCCCTTTTTCTTTTTCCTCATGCCAACATACATCTTTTCTTTATTTCATGCCAAAATGGGTAAGGTGTGTAGGAGAGGAAGCTGAAGTTTTGATAAGATGCAATTGGTTTTTACAATGTGTAATGGATAGTCTGAGACAAAGGTATGAAACTCCCTTTAAGGGGGAAAACGCGGAGTTTGAAAAGAACAATTCATGGTGCCTCGGAGTTTAGTTACTGTTATTTTGAAGTCTCAATCTGGTGACTACAAATTAAAATTCATAAAAAAATGCTCCACATAAAGTGCAGTGTAGTCTTAGCCTTGAAAAGAAAAAAGGATCCATTTGAGTCGTTATGGTCCTGATCAACAAACAGCACTTTTAGGTACGCAATATAATAACTTCGAGGCAAAAGCTTAGCAGCCACAAAATTATGTGAGATTAACAACATAAAGTTGATGGTGTACACCCCCACTATTATGGTCAAAAAGCTTCATTTCCCTTTTACACCTTTTTTTGAAACTGCTTTATTCAGTCATCACAAATGCTATGTAATTATTTAAATCATTGGTTTGAGGATCAAATCAGGAAAAAGCCTTTCGTATCTTCACATTTTGATAATACCACCCTATACTATATATATATATATATATATATATATATATATATATATATATATATATTAAACATATACATGTGTATATATATAACAAAACTCACCATTATTCTTGCTGTGATGTGATCCTTCTTTATATATATGATAGATCCGCATGCATGATATTTAGCACATAAAATGAAAGAATGGGCAAAAGGGGTCATAGGAAGAGAAGGTGTTGGTGTAGATGTCATAGAATTGAGTGTTAATACCCTAAAGATCACTGCATGCACACTGAGAGAGAGAAGAAAGAAGAAGAGAATAAGGTCTGACTTAAGGGAACATGGGAAAACGCCAAAGGGAATGCAGCCAATGGTCACCGCCCACTAAGAATTTGGTTATGTCTGTTGCATCAAGAAAGAATGAAAGAGAGAAAGAAAGAGAGAAGGAGAGAAAGAAACAAGTTTTCCTTTGAAGTTTGAAGAAGGCGTGCCCGACACCAACCTCTCCTTGTGGCTCGCCTTTTCAAGTTCTCCCCAACATGGATTCTCTTTGCAGTGCCAAACCCATCACTTCTCTCAAGAGATAGGACTAGATTCTACTTTCACACTTTTTGCTCCTATCGTCATCTTTAAAACTTACATTCCTCACCAAACCATTTTTCTTTTGGGCTTAACATCCTCGTATTCACAACTTACACTGCCATTAATCTCCACTCTCCAGTACGTCAATTACAACTATAAGGAATATAGTTTTCATTAGCTTTGTCTTCTGTTTATAATCTTTCTTTAACTCACATGTTTCTCCTTTTAAAGAAAGCACCTTCTTTTGGTGTAAGTTTCAAATTGGTCATTCGGTTCTGTTTGTTTATTGACAAAACAATTGTAGAATTCTTAAAGAGGGTTCCTTTAGTTAAATATCAATACTTTGAGGATTTAATTTCAATTTTTTTAATTGGAAAATATTTATTTTCACAAAGAAGTAACATTATTTGGGCACAATTAGAGTATTTTTTGGGCAAATGAAAGTGATTTTTGACATTTCAATTTCTTAATCAATACAAAGTTGTAAGTAGCAGTATCACTACGTTTCATAATAGCTTGAGACAGTAAGAAGATTATTGGTGGGATGCTACATGGAAGTTACGGAACAACAACTAGAACTACCACTTCATCCCAAAATGGATTAATTAAGTGAAAAAATTGTTAAATAAAAGCTTTATTTTACTGGAAAAAAGGAGTATTCTTATATATAAAAAGGAAGAAAAACATCTGTGATTCAAACCAACCGAAGGGTTGTTGGTGAAGGGCTACATATTTGAATAAGCATATATAATATGAATGATGGCGTCTGCTTTCTGATTTTGCATGGAAAATTTAAGAAAGCAGATGGTATTGAATTAATGATAGAAGCTTTTTCCCTTTAAAAAGACTCCACTTCCACTCTTACTGTCATCATTGCAGCTGAGTTGGTGGGCATGCATGGGTTGCTTTAACACCCATTCATTTCGACTTTGTGTATTCTTTTTTGGTAGGAATGAAGGAATTAATGACCCTTTGCTTCTTCTTATATATTTCCTCATTCTTTATTCATTCATTCTCACTCATCCTTGTGCCACCACTTTCTCACACTTTCACGGTGAGAAAGAACAGTGACAAATTTTAAGGTTGGTTAATTAACTTTGGTGTTTTTCATGGGTCATTAATGCTTAATCAATGACACGTTTTGTGAGTAATTACAAGGGCGCACGTGCATTATTCTTAAGACACACTAACTGTGGTTAATTATGGCTGAAAAGAGAGTGAACAGAAATCATGGTTTCAGTGATTGTTCGTAATAATCTGCTGTCTCTCTTCAAGCGTACGTTTTTTGCAGTGATAATACATCGACACAACAGTAACGATGACAACTGTTATTGTTGTCGTCGTCGTCTATTCAAATGGATGGGCACGGTGGGGATCTAGATTCTCTTTTTCCCAGTTGAATAATACTATAGATATGTATGTAGTCATGTTACAAAAATAAACATGTGACTTTATGTGGAATATAATAATTAGTAGAGAAATTAATTATTATGGTAGGATTTTATGTCATAAAATTTGTGTCTTTTTCTTTTAAGTTGGCCTAAAGGATATTCCAACTAGGCAAAGGGTGTAAGATGGTTAACTTAATAAACTATTAATGCAATGAGAGATGGAACCCAACTCCTCTAAAGTAAATCATTTAGAGAACGATGATTTTTTTTATTTGTTAATTAAAAAATAAAAAATTAGTTTTAATAAATTTATGTTTTACCATCTATTTATAAGTAAAATGACAACTTTTAGTTTTTAATTTCGTTTTCTTTTTCTTTAAAGTTAAAGTTTACTTGATTTAGGAAAATGCAGGTTCATATAATCACTTGAAGCAATACGGTTGTAACAAGCATAATCATTTTTATTGATGTACTAAGGTAATTTTTCATACGCATGTTAAAACAAAACATGATATAAGAAGTTTCATATAATTTTTTTATTTTTCTTCTAAGAAAGGGAAAGCAAGTTATTTTTTCCCTTTGCTTATTCATCATTATTTTCTTTCAAATTTAATTACCAGAAAGCATGATTTAACCTAAAATTCCACAGCACCTAATTGATTAATAATGTTTGCAACAGCACTTGGTGCAGAGCTGAGAAGAAGTTATGAACTTTTTCTGGGCTTTAGTATGGTGTGGTGATAACTTCTGCTTTGGGCCTCAGCTTTTGACACCCATTAAGATGACACTTTTATGTGTATGCTGCTTTGGGTCGTGACACACACTGAACATCGACTATCATATTCCGGAAGTGTTTTTCTAAGTTTTCTTCACAAACCTCACATCATCCATCGTGTCAATTGTCAAACATCGATTATAGGGTTAATTTTCTTGATGTGATATATGTACTATGCTTTCTCCCAGTAACGTTGAAAAGTTACCGTAGAAATTAAGGTTTTTATATATATATTAGAACTTTATGAATTATATTATTTATAAAATCATTTTTTAAATGATACATTTTTCTCTATCACATCAATGCTTTTTTTATCTTTTTGTCATAAACAAATTGCACTAAATCGATATAATAAAGTACTTGCATGTTATAACATTCTATCATGAATTAAAGAAAAAAAAATTAAGATATTAATATGAAAATAATTATCCTTCTTATAATTAAGGTTTTACAAATTTGATTTTTTAATAAGAAACAATTTTTATCATAATGTCACGTGAAAGAATAAACCTTTCATAAAGAATAACATAAGTAACTCAACTACTCACGGATCATCTGAAACAAAAATGAAATTCCATTGACTACTAAATTAATGTAATATTCATAGTTGATATTCAAAGCGTTTATTCTAAGCAACTGATTAAAGTTAATCTGCAGATAAATATTTAACAATACAATTATAATTTCTCATATTTTGTTTTAATAATAATTATAAGTTTATTATATTATTTGTAATGATACTATATTTCATATATGTGTAATAAAATAAAAGTAATATTTTACAAATATTAATTAAATTAAAAGGCAAAACAGTTTGTTAAACAAATAAGTCCTTATTTGAAAAAAGAAGTAGTTTATTTTAGATTATATGCGAACTTCTTCTATTAAAAATATCCTATTAATATTAATAATCTATCTATCTATCTATCTATCTATATATTATCACATTATATTACTTATGCTACGTACACTACTCTCTCTTTTTATCTCTTTATCTCTCCAAGGGCCAAGTGCTGTAGAAATGTCCATCCAGTATTTTCCTTTATCTTATTCATTATTATGCACAATACGAGCGAAATGAAGTATATGTGTAGACTTTTATCTTATAAAGAGTTGCATGTTTCTCAAATCAGCATAGCTGTTTAAGTATTCATATATAAGAAATAATTTATTTATTTTATAAGTCTCTAAAATTTAATTTAACCTTTTTTAACTTAAAATATTGTTTAAAAAATTTAATAATTACTTAGAAACTGTCTTAACTTAATCAATAGTTTTAAGTTGAGTTTTCACAGTGTCATAGTGTTAAAATTTGGCAAGTACCACTTTTGTGTTGACCTCTAGTCTAACTGGTTGAGTTGTACTCAAAACAAATATTTAATTTTGTGGCTTTTCCTATACATTGTTAAACCCTGGATAGAGTAATGCTTCGTTTGTTACTTAGAAAGTATCAGGTACCTGATCCTTGTGAACCCAAAGTTGCTAGTTAGTTTGAGTTTCCCCACATTACTCGCCCTCTTCTGACTGAGATAACTTTCTTTTCAGGACCTCGTTTTCCTTTCTCAGTTTCATGATTTTCTGCTTAAGCGTTTCAACATGCCAATTTGCTGTCATTTCCTGCTGCTGGTCCACCAGCTTTGCTTTACAAATCAGTACTGCAGGGTACAGAAAAGCCTCCTACTTATTTTTATGCAATATACGACGAAATATGCTCAATATATAACAAAAAATGGTATTGGACAAAAATAGAGACATGGGAATAAATTCAGCCTTACATTCCTTTTCCCGATTTTGGATTCTTCTGTTTAACTCGTTTTTTTCTTCCTGCTCAACCGCAAGACATTCTTTCAAATCCTGAACCTCAAAATTATCTGACAGATGGTTAATGAGCAAAGCAAACAAATCTTCATTACACTAGACCTACATATAGATATATCACAACCTTGAGGCAAAGAAAATTCATGCGTTTACTGGTAAATAGAATGCCTCACATTTGGATTCCACTTCAACATGGATTTGGTCCAATCTCGTTGCTAGAACCTGCATATGACTTTTATGTGCAGCTAAATCTCCATGGAGTTGGCTTATAGTTGCTTCATATGTTGCTTTCTCATGTAGAGATTCCCTGACATAAGGTCACTCCAATGACCATCAACAGAACAAGTCTTACAATCCGGTGATTAGCATATTTTTCATAATAAATAAATTATAGTGCTTGAAAGTTCATATAGTCCCTGAACCATGAAAATTGTATCTAAGGGCTTCAAATGTGCATTTATTCAGTTAAATTAATCACATTGTCAACGATGTCATGAATCTCAATGAATAATTTGAGTTCGACGGTTAAACATGTTTGTTTGCTTGTTTTCCAACTCCCAATTGGAACTTCTCCATTTGAAGTCAAAATTTTCATTCATCTATACAGTCAGCAAATCAGAATCATTGAGTGGAGATCAAATAATTCATATTTAATTTAGATAAATTGAATGTACAGGAAATTTGAGTCATTTGTATATGATAGGATATGCCGTATCCAATACGGTGATACGATTATTTTTAAAATAACGAGATACGATATGTCATATATAATATAACGATATTGTTATTTTAAAAGTAACAAAGTACCATACGATTTATATTTAAAAATGCATATAATTTATAGAATATAATATATATATATATATATATATATATAATTATAACCATGCAAATTTAAATTAAAATCATATTTTTTAGACATTATTAAATAAAATATTATAAATCATTATCATCATAACTACTATTAATTACATATAAAAATAATATTATAAATCTTATTACTTTTTTAAAATAATTTGAAGAAAATAATTGTCCTCTTAGATTTATTGAAAAATAATAATATTTCTGAATATCATATATATTTATAATTTTATTGAATATAGATACTTTAAAGTTTCAACTATATTCACTAATACATGGGTAAAATATCTAAAAATATTAATATCCAATATATGAAATGAATAAAAACATACGTATCTGTATTTGAAAGTATTGATATTTATACAAGAAATGAATAAAGCTATTAGTATTTCATTAATATGTATAAATCAAATATTTTATAAAATTGGTATAGGTTCAAATACGAATATGGGACAAATTGAATTATTGCTATTCCTAGAATTCATCTAGCGATTATGATTATTTATTGCATAATTATATTAAATCCGGTTTCAAACACTCTCTAAATGCATAATTAGATACCGTATATAATTTTCATCCCTCAAGGACTAATATACTTTGAAAAATTAGTTTAACTAACTACTCAACTTTTACAGAATCTTCAATTTGTACTCACTTGACTTGAGCTTCCAAACACGCAATTTGTTGTTCATATTCTCGCTTAAGCAATTCCATATCCTTCCTGTGTCCCTGCTCCAAACACAAAATCCGATCTAATTCTCTGAATCATAACATATTATCCAACTGCGTTCGTAATATTCTCTGTCACAATCAAATCATACAGCAGAAAAAAAAAACAAAAACTCGGAAGCAACTCACGTCTTCTTTAAGCAAAACTTCATTGTTCGCTCTCTCCAATTCTTCTTTTAAATTCAGGCATTTTGTACGATAATCAAGCTGTTGCGTCACACATACTCAATTTTAAATAAAATGTCAGAAAATGTTTCCAAATTTAAATTGCGGTCACAGTTTAGGTCACAAAAAATTCCGAATCGAAGTACCTGATCCGCTAGATTCTTCAAGGACTCCGAGTACAGTTTTGCCAACCTATCATTTTCTGCAACACTTTGAACAAATTTAGCAGCAAAAACACATCACGTGAAAATTTTCATGTGTATTATAGTTAAGAACCTCTTTTAAGGGCGTTGGAAGCGATTTGGAGTGATTCACGCGACTTGAGCTCTGCGTTGTAGTTGGATTGCAGCAACTGCATCTCCGAAATGCTACTCTTAGCATCCTGAACGAATTAACGCAAAATTGAAAAACGAACAAAAAATTCAATGTGTTAGGATTTCGCTGACGCTAATTGAACATCAATGATGATACTAAATTTGAATAATACCTCGTAGATCTGATCGAACGCAGAGAGTAGTGATTCCATTTCTTGGTCACTGGTTGCCGCCATTTTTGTTGTTGTTTTGTTGTTCGCTTGACAAATTAAAATTATCTATTTTCCAAGTTCGAATGAGTGATAATGGTTTTGGGCATGGCCCAATTCTCGCCCTCATTATCTCTTTGTAATAAAAAACTTCGGCTCCTTCTTCCTGCACCCCACAATTTCTCGCTGCACCCCATAACCTATATAAAATAACAGAAATACCCTTTTACTAATTTTTGTTTGAAACCCTTAAATCTTCTTCTCTTTTATTCCTCTACACCTCCATAGTTCCTGTAATTTCACTTGTATTGAAGATTGTTTTTAAGCTATAAAGTAAGAAATTATTAACGTTTTATACCTATTACATAAAAACTGGATTGGAAATGAATATAGGGATTCATACTATTCAATTCAGGACGTATTTTTGAATTTGAAAATAAATTTCAAAACACTTGAAAAAACCAATTTATGAATACATTCTGAATTAGGTGTTTCAAAATATGTTTTCCAAACATCCAATCTAAAATACATTTTCAGAATAATCAATTTAAAAATAAATTTTGAAAATATGAACATGTTTTGATGAGAGTGAAAATAGGATTTATTTTAATTACGAGGGTGCAAAAAGAAATTATGAAGTGTTAAAAATATTACTTTATTATCTTTTATTTAAATTAAGTATTAAGAGATTTTATTACGTTTTAAGAGAGAAGGTAAAAAGATATTAAATTATTATTTTGATTTAGGCAGTTATGATTGAGATATTATTAATATTTGATATTTTGTAATATTTTTACTCTATATATACATAGAATACATGAATAAAAAAAAAATACTCACATGATATATCAAAAATACATATATACAAAACCCTAAAAATTCTGGCAGTTATGACTTATAGGCTGTGAGAATGTAATCCGGATTGGATGTATGAGAAGCTGTAGAAGAAGATTATATTGTTGATCCACTACCTGAAAATTTCACTGAAATGAAATTTCATAGATAAAGAAAAATGAGGAAGGCAAAAGTTAAATCATGTTTGTTTGCTGGTGTTTCACAAATAATCCTCACTAGAATCATAATGCTAAAGTCACATAAATAAAATTGGAATTATTTGAAAGATCAATATGAAGGGATGAGAAAATTCGAGGTATGAAAGTTCTAAACTTGATAAGGAAATTTGAGATACAAAAGATGCAAGAGTCTCAGACCATTAATGAATAATCAAACAAATTGTTTGGTATTGTTAACAAAATAAAATTATTAGGCAAAGAGTTTTCTGATTCCTGAATAGTTGAGAAAAGTCTAGTAACTATGCCAAAGAGATAGGAAGCATCTATTGCTTCATTGAAAAATACAAAGGATTTGTCTAATATTACTTTGGCAGAAATGTTACATGTTTTACAAGCGCAAGAGCAACGGAGATTGATGAGAGGAGATCATGCTGCCGGTGAAGGTTCTTTACTATATTATGATGGAGGTTCTCTCCAAGCCAAGAACAACAAAAGTACAAAATAACAAGTATTTTCTGTTTGTCCTTATTGCAAGAAAAATAATCACACATCCAATAAGTGTTGGTGGATGCCTGATGTGAAATGTAAAAAATGTGGTCAATTGGGACATATAGAAAAGATATGCAAATCACAACTAGAAGAAGCCGTCAAGATTATAGAGGATGGACTAGAAGGGAAATTTCTTCAAGTTATAGAGGATGGAGTAGAAGGAGATGAGAATCGATAATGGAGAACAAATGGACCTGAAAGGTACAAGAACAATTGCAGTTAAAAGTTCGGGTATTAAATTAATTTTTGATGTTTTATATGTTCCTGATATTAATCATAATTTGTTAAGTGTTGCTCAATTATTGGAGAAAAGTTATAACGTGTCTTCTGAACACAAACTTTATTCAAAGTTCACTTGAAAAGAAAAATTTCCACTTTAGATTTGATGAAAGAAGAGTTGATTACAAACGAAAATATAAAAGAAAAGTTAAAGAAAAAACATGAGGAAGATTTATTGAAGAAACTTGATATTAAGGGGGAAAATAAATATGTAGATGAAGAAATTGTTTCCAACTTTCATCAAAGAGTCAATGGTACTACCATGAAGTTTGAAAGAAACAAAGGAGATGAAGTTGATAAAGGAAGAAATATTTTGATAAAGAAAATGAAGTTGAATGAAGATGTAATATAATACAAGAAAAAAGATGACAAGAAGTACAAACAAAAAAGAAGAAAAATTCTAAGCAAAATAAAAGAAGAAGTATAAAATTGAAATAAATAGATATTAAAGTAAGGAGGAATATTAAGAATATTACTTTATTATCTTTTATTTAAATTAGGTATTAAGATATTTTATTATCTTTTAAGAGAGAAAGTAAAAAGATATTATGTTATTATTTTGATTTAGGTAGTTAGGATTGAGATATTATTGATAATAATGAAATTAGAAAGGAAAGAAATAAATGAGATAATGATGAAATAGAAATAAAGCATTCTATAATATATTTTCAAGATAATCATGACATGATTTTTGTCAATGAAAAATATGATAAACATGGTCAAAGCACTGCACTTAGAAGTAATGAATGAGTTTGGAAATTTTTAGTCCTTACCAATTTATAATAAGAGTAGTTTTTTCGGATATACCATGAACAACTTGTTTCGTTGTATTCAAATAGATGTTCAATTTATTGGAACTCGTTATCAATGTTAACGTTTAGAAAAGGGATCATAGGCAGATTGCAGTTTCCACTTATAAGACGTTGGTCTTTTAGAAACGAAGCATCATCGCGTTGAACTAGTGAGGGTTTAGAAAAGTCCAAACAGAAGTGTATGCATGCAAATCAATTTACAATGGCAGGAGGTTAGTTTTTTTTTTTTTTTTTCTCGTCATTGTTTCACTTACCGTTTGCTCTGAATGTTGTTATGGATTTTACAAAGACAACTTTAGCATGTAATAAATCAAAATGAATAAGGTAGGAAATTCAAACTAACTACTCAGTCTCTAATGCAAAAATAGGGGATTATCTTGATATTTCTAAAAAATTTAAGTAGTGATTCTGCTTTAGCGTTTTTTTCCATTCTGTCAAGCTAGAACATAGTTTAAAATACATATCACTAACGAAAGAAAAGACAAGAATCATATTTGGGACAGAAGTGGAAGGTGACTGTTCATTCTACATGATATGCAAAACCATTTTTAACCAAATATAAACAAGAAAGAAACATAACCAACAATTTTTGTTCAAACTAAGAATATTTACATTATGATAGAACCAACTCTTCTGACAGGAAAATTTCCATATATATGGAGATCAGCCTTAGACTTTATTTCAAGAAAATAAAGTATAGACCACTCGAATTAAATACTATACTACATAACAACAAATCAGTGAGTATCTTGCACTATATTAAACCATTACAGCAAGAGGGACACGGAATAATAACAATGATGAACAAAAAGATGTGAAAAAACAATGTGCTTTACGACTAATACCGTGAACAACAAGAACATAATATGCATCGTGTGCGTGGAACAACGGAGTAATAGTAGCATGGTCATCTAAACTGCCATAGGATTTGTTCATCAATCTTGCTCAGCTTTTCATCATCAAGGCGCTTCCAAGTCAAGATTCTCTGCACCCCCATCCAGGAATTTTTCCCCTTCTGAAGTTCAGCCTGTATAATCCTTGCTCTTCTAGGCCACCCTGCTTTCCCATAGCCATGGTATCCAAAGCCACCACCATAACAAAACCATATGCCATCCAAGTTTCCGCAAAAGTCGTTGGTGTGGTCATGACCTATGAACACAGCCTTCACATCCCCCATGGAGACAAAGGTGTGCAAGACCCCCGAGTTCACCCGAGAACATGCCACAGCCTCTTGAAATTGGCCTACAATCTCTTTGTAGAACAGTTGCACAATTTCTGGGATTGGGATGTGGAAAAATGCAAGTGCAGGGGGTTTAATTGTGGAAATAGCATCAGTAGAATAAAGAGGATCCTGATTTTGTCCCTGTTAGTTTGTGACCAGCAAGGTGTTAATGGGATCTACATCTGGGAAACCTCCCTCAGGGGAATAGAAAGGCCGTGTCCTATGAATAACAGAAGTGTATGATTGCATTATTGCATGAAAAATAAACAATATTCTGCTGATAAGAGGATTACATGTTTTCTCACTACATTCAACCCCTTTTAAGGTTAAAAATGTTGATTACATTTATTACTGTCCTTACTGTAGTTATTTAAATAATTTGAATATTTAAAGAGAAAAATATTCAACTTATTGCGATCATTACTGCCAGCCCCACCCCTATATTTTCATTTCTTTGATAGTTATCACAATTTCTAGTCAAACACGGTTAGCTATTGAAAATCTCAGTTGTTCATTTCATTCCTAGAAGAGTGAAACTATGGAAATAAATGTTGTCACTCTAGCAAGATTTCGTGCATTTCTGAACCTTGTGTGTTAAAGGCAGAAATAGCGTCCTTATCTGACATGCCTAAGTTATTCTGCAACTTTCCCAAAGCGAATAGACATTTTCTCCACCTAGTGATTTATGCAAAACTAAAAGTGCATCAATATAATTTCTCCGCAACTCACTTTGCTCAATTCCCCCGGAGCCACTTTTCTAGTCTACCATTGAATTATATTATTGAACAAAGCTAAAACGTATAATGTATCCAGTATCCACAAAATTCTTTCGTACTTCCGATAGAAAATATAGTTGTAGAAAAACTGAAAAAGAATGAAATCACTACCAAGGAAAGAAAAGGAGAAAATTATGAAGATTGTATTCTTTTGCAGAAAATAAGTCAGAAATATAAATCAATGAACACAGTCATGAGTATGCAGCATGTCAAATTGAAGTATGGACCGACAGTACTTAGTATCTTCCTAATCATAACCAAAATTAGTTTGATTAGCAATCGGCAACAATATTCAGATTTTGTTGTTACCTCGGATTCTTGAGAAACACGACGAAGCCAGTGAAGTTGAGACTCCTTGATCCATCCATAAGTCCGA